CTTAAGTCGACCTTCGTGCATATCTTCCAAGTGCCCCTCAAATATGGATTCCATTGCTGTGCTGTGTGTCTCTTGGGCTCTCAATACTTCATTGTACTCCCAGAAGATCAGTTTCATCATTAAATTTTCATAGTGGCAGATCTGCCGGGTAGTATGACAGCAACGAGACAGCGACGACAAGGGCGCCGACCTACAACAAGTCACTGCTCATACTTATCACACTTACAAACGTACCCAATCTCGGCACTGCTTCAGGGCATGAACTCTGTATGGGAGGTAGTCACACCGTTAATACAAGCTGACGGCGTTGAACGATGTCGCCGACCTATACGACTCGGAGTCATTGACACTGTCCATATCATACTACTTACAAACCTACTCGATCTCAGTGCTGGTCGAGGGATTTAATTTTCACGGAAGGTAGTCACACCTTCTATGAAGCTGACGGCGTTGAATGTTCAATATATACGGTGCGAAGTACACTAAAAGCGAGGACAGTTACTTTCATGAAGCGTGGGAAAAAGCTAAAGCACGGATCACACCTTTTTTTGGCGGGGAAAAAGCACCCAAAAAGTTACTTTTATACGTACCGTTAAGGATCAGGTACCCGTTTACAAGAGTACTGTACTTTTTCGACCAAAGGTTTGTCACACGTTTTCCGCGTTGATGAACCGAACAAAATCCTGCATGACCTCACGCATAACGCAGGGTGAGCGAACAGTGACCTCGGCAGGCGCTTGCACAAAATAATCATTTTTGCAAGCGCCTACATTGTTTTCTGAACCATATACGGGTCCCGTCACGCTCACACACGGTTTCTGAACCGTGACCCGGGCGAAACTGATGGGTGACGTAAATTCTAAGGTACTCAGAAGAAGGTTACACTCTACAGCCTTCTCACACTGTACTTAATCTGCAGGTTCAGCTGAATTTTTCGAAAAGAGGCCAGGATGATTACCATAATCCCAACAAATACGCTGAAAACCTAGTGGTGGGTGACTCAGAGTGCCACCACAGTAAGTACTTACACGGGCAAGCCACCCTTGCCTAGCTGAGCTTCCCACGCCGTCTACCACCTCCAGAAAATGGTAAGAAATGGCTTAAATATATCAGGGACTCCTTTTTGGGTATATCACACTCATTATGTACACCCTGACTCATCATGGAGCCCATGAAGCCTCTACCAGTCAGAGATACACGTACGGTGTGGCAACCCAGGGAAGTGAGCCCGGACCAAGCCGGATGCAGGGTGGCGCCACCGCGAAAACTCGACGCGTCAACTCAAATCGAACCGCGGTCGTCCCGCCTACCGTACCCTGTCTGTCCGTTGAGAATAGATGGTGTATGATAACCAGAAAGTTGAAGTCCTCTGCGGGAAATGCCTTTACGCACGATGTGGCGAGTATATATACTTGCGCTCTGCTCGTCGACTTTCCCTTGTTTTTCTTCAGGTCATTATTCCATTGTTGATACTTGCTCTGTGGCCGTCATCACTTGATTATCAGTTAGGGCTGGTCTCTCTTGGGCTTTGCTCGGGCTCGTCTGTCTTTGGATTTCGCGGCAAACTCTGGTCTCGTGCAATGGCTGCCTCTGTCTATCTGTTAGACCTGGTGCTTGATCTCGCTCCTTGTTTCCTATTGAGTATTTTTATTGCAGTGTAACTTGTATTTGTTTTGCTATATATAATATAAAATTTCTACCATCATTGTGACAGCCGACTGCGGGGTTAGCGTGAGCGTTCAACAATTGGAAGGAATATCAATATTTAGAATTAATAGTATTTTGAGATTTTGTGCCGTCTTAGAGAGAAATGACCGTCCATGGCCATCCATGGCCATGTAAGCTCATAATGGTTTGCGTTGGCCATGCCTCACCGAAATGGGTTGGCATGGTCTTCCCTGGTCAGTCATCATCCGACGGGCAATGACCGAGAACGTCAACGCATCCTGATTGAGCTTATATCTGGAAGGTTTACTTGACCTGGACCGACCTCCCGAGGTCCCGATTCGCCGTTCTTGTATGAGATGATGCTGGGTTTTTTGACATTGCCTCCCATGTTTCGACTTGTCGGGCTAGGACCTTGCCTGGTCCGCTTTTCAGGATTTCCCTGATGTACCAGAGTACCTGGCCCGGTGGGGCCGAATAGCCGGGTTGGGGTTGTCTCCGGATCCGTTGGCGCGCTGTTGTTCCTAAAACTGATGATCGCATGCTCTTCGTCTCGAATCTTTCATCCCAATTGTCCGTTTCTGCCACTAGTATGTCTTGTTCTTTCCTCGCTTCGTTGACAACGCGACCGCGTACGTGCGTCTGGCTGATGGCTTCGGGTTTGAGGCTGACATTGGTGGCATAGCCACGTTGCTATATCGGGCAAGATCTCTCGCTGTTCTGCAGCCCTCGACGCGTTGTACTCTCTTGCTTTATATCTCTTTTGTCTCGCGCCCCCGCCTGGGATACAAGGCAACCCTGATATCGCCGTTTGAACGTGTACCTGGGCTTTCTCCTGGTATATATACGTACACCGCTCGCCCAGGCCCCCACAGTACGCTCGACTCAGGTCCACTCACGCCTCTGGCTATGCTAGCATCGCCTCATCACAGCACTAACAGGTCCAATATCTTATCTTGGTTTCGTAGGCGTATAATACCTCAGACAACCGCTGGTGTTAGATTTCACCACCCACCTTCCACACACCTGCATTCGCCTCACCATCGAACGAGGCAAGCCCGACGTTCAATTCTCCGAAAGCGTCGTAGTCAGCTCGAAGACCGCATCCAGGCAATTCCAATACGATCTGAAGAGGATTACGAAGAGGAATTTGGTGCGTTCTTTATCTAGGCGACGTATCATGATCGTGATTTATGAGATGCTCATGATCGTTGTTGTGTGTGACGCGGCGAATTCGCGCTGTACAGAAGAACCTTATCTTGGGAATTCAAGGCAGCGACGTGAATCTCAGCGACTCGGTGCTTCTCAATCATATCGACGCTCTCGCTCGCCGGGTCGCCGTGCTTCCGAACCTCCCACACCTCTACCACCTCTGGTTCCTCTACATCCTCCCATTACTCCGGCCGACCTGCCTGACCCGTTATCAACCCTGAGCAATCGTCGACGAATTGTTACGCAGAATAACATGCAGTACTATCCTCATCCCTACGTCCAGTACACTCCCTACCCAGCATATCCGCCCTACGGCTATCTTACACCCAATGGCGCTCAATCTGGGTGGCCCGCGAGTGTCGCTGTTACTCCCGCTGTCCTTCCACATCCACATCCCATGTATACACCGTACTCGGCACCCTACGCCTCTCTTCCCGCTCCATGGCCCAACAACGCACACCAGCCAAACTACCCTAATTCGGCGGCCTCGTACCATACTCCCCTCCCTTCCACATTTCGCACCCCACGTCCTATCCAGTTTGATATCCCAGAGGAAGGTACTCTGACATGGCAGCCTCATCCACATCCACATCCCAACATCCCAGCACAATCATGGTGGGCTCCTATCGTTGGGATGCCCGTGCCCGCTCCACCAGCTCTGACACCCGGACAAGCACTCGCGCTGTCAGGTGGCTGGCCCTACCCAGGCCAGGGGCCCAAGGACTTCATATCCGGCGATACGTGGCCTCCTAAGCGGCGTCTGCTCGATTTACACGTCGCGCCATGGCTTATCCCGAATCCTGTTAACGCCGACTCGTTCACCCTCCGATGGGACATCCGGTTCGACCCGCGCAAGTCTCTGCATATCACTGGACGTGCATTCTTCCGCGCCGCCGAAAAGTCGCTCAATGTTGTCGCTACGCATCCTCCGACCAAGGAGATGGTGATCATGCCTCAGCCGCAATGGGGTGGATCAAGATGGGGCCCGATATATATCCAGCAGTCGAAGAATATATCGTGCATGGACGTGTTGATGGCGGTGTACGATTATTATAGGATGCCCATCACGGAGACGGAGATGCATGAGCTCACTAGAGGAGATCGGCACGCGTATGAAGTGATCCATGTGTCGATGTTTGAGAGGTGTTGTTTGGAGGACGAGCTTTTCGAGTACGCAAGGCAACGAGGAATGAACAGGGCGGACGCGATGGGTGGAACGACGATGTTCTGGGGAATGTGAGTCAATTTTAGATTTATGATAGTGTTGCTCGTGCTCACGATACCGCTCTAGGTGGACGACCGTCGACGTCCAAACGAATAGGTGGCTGATGAACCTCGGGTTGGTACCGAGGCAGAAATAGTCTGGGGGTGGTCTTCGTATCCTGTTGGAGGACATCGCTGTGACACTTTTTTTCATGCATCTATCGTTTTGCTTTCATACATGCTTTCTGGGTATTTCTGTATAATTCATGCACACTAGTATGCGGGCGGTGACGTCTTTCTAACGGCTTCACCTTTGACTGTAGCTTTACTACACCGACCGGGATCATTTTAAAATTTATGCATATGTATTTTTCTGATGAACTTACTGCAAAAGGCTCCACACAAATAAATTTCAAGTAGAATTCATTGGTGGAACGGTGATCGTGAGGAGGGGCGCGCGACGCGTTCTCTACACGTGCTCCACGGTCTGGATCACGCCTGCTTCGGCATATGCCGACGAGAGTTTACCCTGGGCCTCTTCTGCAATATTTTTCCGCTCCAGCTCTTCCTCTCGTCTGCATTTTCCTCAGTCTTCGGGTTCATTGTAGCGGCTATTTGGAAAGTTACAGCCATGCTGTATCGCCCGTCAGCTCTGTCCCTCCTCTCATAGTGACTAAACACTCCGTTCTCCCACATCGCTCGAGCTGTGGGTTTGTCGAATCGGGCGCCCCTCCTCCTCGAGCTTGCCTCGTTCTCGCTGCAGACGTACCGAGAAGATACATAATAGTACGCATCCGAACAAATTTCAATAATTATATCTTGGCAAAATCGAATTCCATCCTGCCTCGAGGCCACTCCCGCCCGATCCTGACCTCGATGCACCTTGCTGGCTGGGGTACCGGCGGCGATCTTCGTTGAGCTACTTCTGGCCCGATGCGCTCAGATTTTGCCGAGTGGAACCCAAGCTAGTTGGGCCGCGGCTTTATGACGCAGGGCTTTTCCTGTGGGTGGTGGATGTATGTTGATGATGAGTCGATCGTTGGGCATTGGTGGGTAAGTTACCCTGCCGGTGCGAGCGAGGAGCAATGTAGTAACTGCAATAACAGGCCGTGCGTCTTCAGCTTGGGGGGTGGAAGGTTATTCCTAACTGTCATGCCGGTGACTTATGCGCGATATGTAGCCCGTTGTGTATATGACCGAGGTATGCCTTCTCCGAATGTTCAGCGGTCGACTTCTAATGCTTCATGTTGCAGTCGTTGCTCTTCACAGACACTCGGACACGATGACTACGTTTTGAATACACGCATCGTTGCGTGGTCAATAGAAGCACAGACTGGATCTGTGGTGAAGGGTTTGTCTGCCCTGCACATCCGGCTGTCAATTAGATGGTTATTTGGCTTTGGCATGCAGACAATCCGTGTCATGGTTTGACTTAAGTTACCGCACTTTCTCATCTTTGATCTGCCGGAGTGATCATACTATTCTTATGCTTCTTATGTGCTCTCAAACATCCCACGGTTCAGCGGTTCTGGGTAACGGGCAATTATCGCATTACTCAGCGGGCAACCGGAGAGGGTGTTGCTCAGGATCTTGTAAAGGTGCGTTCTCTGTGAGACAGCGCCATGTTGGAATCTTCGACTGACCATCTGTCATACTTATACGTCAGTCATCTGCGTCCTCCCATAACAAGTCATGGTTTTACAAGAAAGTGTCATCTGTCCGAGGTAACTGTAGTATCTCGTAGCATCGCTACCCTCTCTTCCCGGAGTCTCACCGATATGCGATATCTGCTCCAACTCTAGGAATCGTAGCTTAGGCTAGAGAACGTCTTAGGCCAACTCGGTCTATACTGTGGAGGTTTTCAGGTAAGGTCTAGGCAAAGCACAGGCCATCATGCTTTGTGGCCTTACGGTTTCTGTTTATCTTGCTCGTTACCTGCTTGATCATCTACTCTGAATGATAAGACCGAGGCCGACTCTCCGTGGTACCCTCTGTCGATGTTTTGGTTTCGTCATTGCTAAAGATGCGTTTCCGGAGACAATTTGTTGCGGCTGCACCCAGGAGCATCGGGCCACCATGCGGTTCTATCTTTGGTCTATACTTGTTCGAAAGCATGCTGTTTCTTTCGTACCGGCTCATGTCCTCTCATGGGCCCTCGTCTCCTCGGCGAGTCCCTGAGAAGCAAAGCTTACGACCAATGAGTCAAACACACGACCGCTTCTTCGCTGTCAATGATGATCCCTCTCCTTTTGGTTCCCGTAAATGGTTTCTTCCACGCCTCGTGAATGAGCCGGGCTGCGTGCCTTGCCCTCGAATTCTCTTTTGTGGCTGAAACCTTCCCATTCCTTCGCTATGTTTTTGTGGTCGTACCATCAATATCAACTATGATAGGATTCTCTTTACCATCATATGCCTTGCTTCTCAAGAGGATCCACATCCCTGAGCCTACGCCATCACGATATGTTCTAGCACCCTCGCCACCTTCCTTGAGTAGGACATTGGGTGCCACACCGTTGTTTGGTGTACTGCTCCAAGACCCCTTCTCGCGTCTCTCTCGTATCTCTCCACGCAGTCGACTGCGCCCTCTTTCTATCCTTCTCGTTGGGCGTCGTTTTCCTGAGGGAGTTAAACCGTCCATCTATCCTCTTACCTGTTCTACCGCTTTGAATCTAGCTGTCCTCAGGCGTCATCCTCAGCTTCGACCAACCAAGGCTATTCCAGGACGAATGTGCGCGTCTGCCTATCACACTTCAGATATCCTGTACGGCAACATCCCTGTTTCGAGCGCTGATGTTGGCAGCATTTTCCTTCGCCAACGCTGTTCGCCGGTACAAGTTCTTGTCTGACGTCGTCTAGCCCCGGTTAGAACGGCGGAAAGCCTAGGCCTCTCGGCAACGTGTTCGGTTCCTCGACGTTATGTTTCTCATTTCGGGCAGATTAGACCTCGCTATTCCAGTCAAGCGCGGACGAGAAACGTTTTCTGGTGGCCAACGTCTATGAATAGTTTTCCGAACAAAGTGTCCAATCATTCTCAGCTTAGATAGTTTCCTGGTTTGCATAACAAAACCTGTACTTTTCACTCTGCTTTACTGTGCTAGTTCGAAGGCACAGGCGACGTCGTGTTCGGTGTGCTCCACCAGGGCCGTTTGTGGGGTGGGAGAAGGCGGGACCGAAAAAGGCAGGCCGAGGCGCTGTGGTCGAAGCCGTCGAACCATGGCGGCCTTCGGGAGGACCACGACCCCCGCCTGCATCTTCTTCGCGAAGCAGAATTTGTCGTTCCAGGACACCGACGTTACCTAATTGGGTTCGACCAACGGTAGGAAGTGTATTGATTTTGGGCAAAGCTCCCGTGCTAGCGCACTGGTCGCACCTTCCACGGACTTGTCGGTCCAAATCGAACATGCTCGCTTTGTGGCTCTGCCGCATCATGCACGCCCCTGGCCACAGAGGACGTCAGACGACCATTTTCTGATGCTTGTAACCTTCCTTCTCGCTGCACGATGCTGCCCGATCCGAGCAAATGAAAGGGCAATCCCATACGCAGGCGTGGACAGCTTCGATCGACAATTATGGAACTTTGCGAAGGATTTGTTGGTGGGCCTTCATCTGGTTTACGACACGCTTGTAGATCTGAGGCCCAGAACGTGAGAAGGTACCCCATATCTCGAAGTCAGTGCTAGCTGCCCTGATACATATAAAGAGCCCCGCTCAGCTCCAAACACCTACTGCGACGGCTTTGTACGCCCTCTGCCTGAACGACGACCGTCTACGACCCGCACGACTTCATTTCGCTGTATAATTTCCTTGCTTGACGATCTTTCTCTCACCCAGCGTGATATCCTTCCGTTATTTTTCCAAACTCTCACTATTAGCTCCAATCGCTTTCCTCATGGCGTCCTACTTCCGCAATCTCTTTGGATGGGGAAGTTCGAGACCTTCACGCTCCGCTGCACAACCAACACCAGCGTCGAGCAGCAAGTCTCACAGTCGCTCGCAGTCTGGCTCCACTGCCCCTCCGTTGACGGCGAATTATATTTACGCCTCCGGTGGCAGCTCTCACGTCTCAGCGATTCCCCCTCCTCGTTCTGTGCCTTCGAAGACTAATAGCTATTCACTCCCTCACACTCACACCGCGACACCCTCGCCTCTCCGCTACCCTACCACCGACTCTCATAGCCGCCCTCACTCTCGCGACCGCGAACGCGCCAGGCCGAAGATGGTTTCATCTGCTTCTGATAGCAAGGCCCAAGCGTCTCAAATCTACAGTCGCCAATCTCACCGGCCCAAAGACCACCATGGTAAGTAGCGCTGTCGTCACTCATCTGTGATCGATATTCATTGAGATACAGTTCACTATCCTCACTTTGTCCAATCCTGTTACGGCACTGCTGGGAGTTCGCGGTCGAACTCGAGCACCTCTATCTACGCCAACATGCCACCCTCCGCTCCACTGTCTTCGAGTTCCCGTCACAACATCATCGCTTCCGAACCTCCTGCGAGACGTCCTCAACTCAAACAGAACCATACGTGGCACGCAGGTGCGCCAGGCATCAGTGTCAGCGCCACAAGCCACACATCATCATCTCGTAAGTTCATGTGATGTCTTTTTATACTTTGACCATGCCCTTACCCTCAAACGATGATCTTTTCAACGTTGACTACCACACAGATGGACGGGCATCATCTCGATCACTCCTACAAACGTCGGCGGTACACATGCATCCATTGTTTGCGTACACGCGTCTCCACCATGCTCCGATCTCGTACGACGTGACATCTTCGCCCTCGGCTCGTACCGTCCTCGACCGGACGACGCACTCTCCTGTCCCCGCTCATACCCTCGCGCAACCCGCTACCGAACCACCTATCCCCGCCAGTCAGACTCTCGTCCTTCGTTCGGATAAGCTTCCCTGGCGCGTCACCGTCGGCCCTATTGGCGCTCAACCCCCTTCTGGCTCACTCGGCAAAGCGTCTGGTCGTGCTATCAGTACTGGTACTGCTTGTATAACCAACCTTGATGTGTTATACGCCTTGCATAATGAGCTCATGAGGAGGGTTACGACGGCGGAATGGGAGTCTCTCGGTAAGGGTAGTAGCGCGCAGAGGAAGGTCGCGGCAGCGTATGAGAAGAGATGTACGAGGTCGGGCGGCGGTTGGGAGCATGGGATCCGGAGGGTGGATTGGTTGAGCTCGAAGACGAGGCTAGTTGGCGTGGAGGTGGACAAGAGTCGGAGCGCGGGTGGGTGCGTCGGGACGATGGTCTTTGGAAAAGCGTAAGGCTCTTCCGAAGGGCGTTGGAAAGATCGTCTTGCATTTTTTTTCTTTTCTTCTCCTCTTTTGCTCGGTTTTCCTTTGTTCTCCGGACTGCTTACACCTCTATGCCCAGTCACTCATTATCGATTATGCCCCATATGCCCCTGGCCAGCTCTTGACCGCTCGCGATCCAGCATCGCTCGACGCCGTGTCGACTGGTCCCCATGCCCCTTCTCTTTCAGCATATTTGTGGTTATAGGAGTGGACTTTTTGTAGTTTGGTCATACATACGCTTGCAGCGCGAGCGGGTTGTGCAGCGCTACATAACGCTTATCCCCATAGCCATAAACTTCATCATCATTGCATTCTGTTCCTCGCTTCCTTTCATCGGTTCGTGTATCGCTCGCCTCGTCTTCCCCTGCATTGTGTATATTATTGTCGCATATTTCGGACTAATAGGAAAACACATACACACAGACACGTCACACATCACACACACAAAACATTGGATCTCTTTGTTCACTCACGCATCTTTTCTCTTTCTCTTTTACTGTACTATTGCTTTCTTCCTTTTTCTCATCGTCGCCATTCACCCCATTTCTTCGCTTCTTCGCACAATGCATCTCTTTCGTCCTCAGGGACGTGTGAGCCCATATGTACAAGGCGTGAGCGAACCGCAAAGTTATCGCCGTTCAAAGGGATTCCAGGACCCGATTCGCGTCCTGTGTTGCCGCATCGACCTGCTCCATTTTGGAGCCCTGACATGACCCCGTCTTCGAGTGACGAGAGGGTGGTGGATCTCGCCACCATGAGGCACTGCGTCTTAGGTATTCTCGCAGCTCGTAAAGAGGTACGAAGAAGGCATGTAGTGCCTTGCGTCTCGAGAAGCACTAGTCCGTACATTCGAGGTATACTACGGGAAGAGGGGACAGCGATGATCATTTTCTATTCGACGAACGCAGCAGGCATAGGCGATAAATGATGGCCGCACAATGCTTGGGCCTAGCCTCGAACATACACAGTCCACAATGCTGAGATCCGAGCTACTTCCACCGTGAAAACGAGGCTACGACTACTCTGAAGCCCTTTTTCGGACGTCCGGAACGGTGAACTTGGGCAGTACGAACGTACGACGTCCCAACGTAGTTGAACCATCAAGAATTTGATCTGGGCGCACCAAGTTCGCAATCTCTTGCTGTTTCTGGAATCCCATTGACAGGATTCGGTCATCACAGAGACATCACAGAAGGCAAAGGGTCGGAATCGAACTCAAAAGTCCCAAGTGAGCTTCATCATCGATGGAGTAGGAACATAGAAGATGGATGCCCTGTGATTCGCAGCGACGAGATGAATAGTTCGTGAGCGCATTCGGATGCAGTAACCTATCGGCTTGGTGAAAGAACCTACAGAACAGGCCGAGGTGATGGGCGACCGCAGTTGGGCTGCTAGCTGGCATGCAGAGCCAGCGTGGACTCCGGTCAACGAACCTGACAGGAAGGTCGTGAACGCGAACTAGATCATCGATGGGAAGTTTGAAGCTCGGTGGCGAGATCGATTTCATTTCACAATCAGCTGTGGTCCATTCGAACTCCTGCGAAGCGTCCCGGTAAGCGATGTCCAAGCCGTGGGAACAATGCAGCCAAGGAATGGAACAGAAGGAACAGGCGGGAGACAATGCAGGTGCAGACTCAAGAGCAAATAATAGCGCGAGTTGACGGGTTAGGACAAAGGCGAAGGACGTCCACAAATGAGAAAAAGACGAGAATTCGGCTGTCTGCTGTACGTCCCAAGAAAATCGTCAGAGCAATCGCAACGACATAAAAGCCACAAGTGTTGGGTATCTCGGATAGCTCATGTGGACGTCGACGTGATCGTATCTAGATCCGGGTAGACTGTGTGAGTTCGATGGCTGTGTGAAGCAAAGCTGAACCTCTGCGCTGAGAAGTCAACACGCCGCAAATGGGTCAGTGCCACAGCGCGCCACAGGGGCAATCCGGCTGAGAGAACTAGTGCAGTAGAAATTCTGCGTCGTTATCGCAATGAGCACCGAACATCCCGATATGATAGTCAATGGAAGGCGGAATTTCCGCTCAAGCTGCACGTGCAGCATCCATAACACGGACAATGCTGTGAGTCAGGACGACCAAATGCAGTGCAGGCACAGACGAACCTCGACACCACTCCACAAGCAATAGCAAAGCCATCTTCTGCCCAGAGCAGCCGACAGTTCTCAAAGGTGAGGTTTCCTTCGAGATCAATTAGAGATGGCTCAACCAAAGCCATATGTCTGCATCAGGGCAAGGTGTATTCACCTATTCACACATCCGTCTGCCATCTGTCATCATCCAAACCCCCACAGCTCTCCGAACTCTCGCGACCATCGCCGTCGAGATGCCTACATTCATTTACGTCGTCTCAATACAAGTACTCGATACAGACCACGGGGAGTCCACACGGAAGACCGCATACTATTCAACAATTGGCACCGCTAATGAAGCAGCCCTCAAAGTTGCTCTTGCGCGGTTGAAGGAGACCTCTAAGAAGGAGACGTACCGAGTCAAGAAGAAGGAGTGGTCCAAGATGGCAGAGAGTCCTAAAAAGCTGTTTTCGACCAGGGGTAGGAGTGGGTATGACCACTGGAAAGTAAGGGTGAGGAGAGAATCCATTCAAGGACCGGACATTAGGACGTTGCCGGAGGAGGAAGAGGAACTGGAAGGTGATGCAGAGGACGGTGAAGAGGATGAAGAGGAATATGAATATGAAGATGGAGAGGATGAAGATGAGGTGACTAGGGCCGAAAAGGAGTTCGTTGACGAGGATGAAGAGGAGGAGGAGAGAGCTCGCCGACTCAGGAAGAGAAAGCGTGCTCGTTATGATTTAGAATAGAGATAGAAAGCAGAACCTGCCAGTGCTTTTCATTAGTGAAGCATATCGTAGCACATAATAAACACTACCCCATCACTATATTGCCAGTCGCCTGAGCAGAAACGTCGAACACTACTCATGAGTCATGAGAGAGGGACCATAAAAACACAGGGAAAATACGAATAAATGAGACTTCTCGGCGAGCCGGCCGTCTGTGGCGTTACAAACACGGCCAAATAGCACTTTTGTTGACCAAGTCGCCACTCGCGCTTCCAATCGCATTCCGTCATCAGTGTCCTTTTTATTTGAGTGCTGAGCTCACAAGATCATATGTATGATCTATACCCACAGCCCGTCGAAACCCAACATGTCTGGTAGACTAGCGACATTCCGATCTACCGGTATAGCATAGGCAGGCTCTCTCGGCTGACTGGTGTCGACTCGAACCATCCATCGGCCTTCGAATAAGCTTCACTCAGTATCGACTCTAAGGGCTAGGCTCCTTTCATTGCACCTATGAGTCCATCTTGCATCACTCGACGTTCATTCGATTGGATCACATCGATCGCCAACTTCGTCGATACCGTCGCTAATGACTGGGTCCCATGGTGCGTCCGACCATTCGTTTTGACCTACACAATTGTTTCAGTGCCCCTTTATAGAGCCATGACTGTGAGTGGAATCCTCTTCAAGCTCAACCTGACCCACCGACCAGGACAGTCGCCCCGGTCTAGCCAATAGGCAGCTGATTCCCGGGGCCATCACAGTGGACACGACGTAAACGGTAGCGCTCTCGGTCTCATCTCCCTGTGGTCCGGCATTATATACGAGGTCAGGCGTTCGCGGACAGATTCATCACCAAGGTCATCAGAAGTGTAAAGGAACCCAGCCTTATGCGGCATGCCTTTCCGCGTCGTGGGTTCTACGAGGCTATAAAATTGCCTGTCCTATCAGTGCGACAGAGCTAGTTTTCTCCCCGCTTCCCCTATCTGCGCTCCAGAGCCTTGTCTACGATGTCTGCGATCGTAAGCATTGTTGATAGTAGCTTTCAGGCTCATGCGGAGCAAGATGTCAGTGAAGCTCGCGTTAGCGATGTCGAGTCTGATGGTGAAGATCATCGTACAGCACGCCCCCCGGCGACGCTGTCCGAAAACTCCGCTCTCGATAACCAGACTGCTTCTCCATACGAGCTTCCTACGTTCCTCTCTGCCCCAAGCGCTCGCAATCGTCGTCGCTCTGAGATTGCGTTTTCACGTCCTCCTCCCAAGTTTACTATTTATGATCCCAGCTCTCACGAAACTAGCCTGACGGAATCTCAGGCTCATGCCACGCTACGGTCCTACGAACTTTCAGATATCACGCCCCATGTCACCGATAGGCTAGGCTACGTTGGAGAGGAAGACATAGAGGTCGGTAAGAATGCCAAGGGCGACTCAGCTGCTGCGACTCCTAGGGAGCCCTCCCTTGCTTACGAGCAGGACGAGGAGACTCGGCCTTCCGCGGCGCAGAGGGCGAAGTTCAAGAAGTATTCAAGGATCCATATGGCAGCTTTGTGTTGGTGTTTCTACTTGGAAGGCTGGAACGACGGCACTACGGGCCCCTTATTACCTCGTATTCAAGAGTTCTATAACGTGTGTTTCACCAATTCTCTGGTCTATCTGTGTGCGGCACATAGATCTCACTGACACTTCTTCAAAACCTGTAGATTGGCTTCGTGGTCGTGTCCATGATATTTGTTGTGAACTGCGTCGTAAGTGTTCCCAGCACGCGTCTTCCCCAGTGCCGTGACTGACTAATGCACTCATGACTTAGGGTTTCGTGGCAGGTGCTACCGCGAATGTGTGGCTGAGCGACAAGCTTGGCTTCGGCAAGGCGAGTAGTCGACTTGATAATTCCATCGGTGTTGGGCTCACTTCAAACACACTTCGTTAGGTCATGCTTCTCGGTTAGCTGTCGTTTCTCGCGTCAAGACGGTGTCACTTGAATTAAACATCGTTCCTACAGGTGCCGTCTGTCAATGTATTACCTACGCTATGCAGATCCCAGAGGGCCCTTTTGCTGTACGGGTCATCGCCTACGGTATTGCCGGCTTTGGAATCGCTATACAAGTATGTATCTCATTCTTGTCCTTACTCTTCGTCTTGACATCAATTATAACAGAATGCTGGTATAAACGGATATGCTGGTAGTCTGAAGAAAGGTACTGCCAAAAAGCTTGGGCTCCTGCACGGGACATACGGTGTGTGACAATTACCCTTAAATATGTATTGTGTTGACTGATTGAGCGTGGATGTCCTCAACTACGCTCATATAGGTATCGGTGCATTCACCGCTCCCCTGGCCGCGACCTACTTTTCTACCGCGGATCACTGGACCTATCACTTCCTCATCTCCTTGTGTCTTTCGGTCTCGAACATCCTTGTACTTGCGTTGGTGTTCCGTGGCCGAACACAGGATGGTATGTTTTACTCTCATTTCTTCAATTTTGGTATGGCTTCTTTACTGAAGATATGTATTGACCTATGCGCAGAGATTATGATCGAGGAAGGAGAGGAGCCTGGAGAGGTTCAAGTCGTCGAAGTAGGGGCTGTGCGCGAGAACAAATTCAAACAGATATTCAGTTCGAAGATAGTTCATTACATGGCGCTATTCAGCATCATCTACATTGGTGTAGAGGTGACTATGGGAGGTGAGTCCTGCCTTTTCGACTCTAGCCCGCACTACCGATCTCACCCTCGCGGACGACTAGGTTGGATCGTCACGTTCATAATCCGAGAACGTCAAGGCGGACCGAACGCTGGTTATATCTCGTCCGGATACTTCGGAGGTATGCGCCACGGGCTCCTTTCTATGGTATTATGCTAACCAGATATTGGTGTGCAGGCATAACTGTCGGACGTCTTTGCCTGGTCTGGATCAATCAGAAGGTGCGTACTCATACCTGCGCCTCCACTACAAGCTCCTCACCCCATGTCCAGATCGGTGAACGACGCGCCCTTTTCCTCTACGGAATCATTGGCATCGCGTACGTATCCACTGCCCTTCCCCTTACTCTCTAATCAGCATGAAATCTGACCGAGGCCCCAAATACAGCTTGGAAGCTACGGTCTGGGCTGTGCCTTCGTTGATTGAAAACGCCGTCGCCGTTTCCTTCATAGGCGTGCTCATGGGTCCTATGTACCCCATCCTCGTCAACTACGCCAAAGACGTCCTTCCTCGCTGGCTGCTGACGGGCGCTTTGGGGTGGATTGTGGGCATCGGACAGTCAGGGAGTGCGGCATTACCGTTTATCGCGGGTCTGTTGGCGGCGAACTACGGGATTGGATCGTTGCAGCCTTTGTAAGTGGTATTTTTGTCTGAATGACGCTTCTGTCATCGTCATACTTGCTGCCTGGGAACGCTGATGCATTTCTTTCCTGGTGGTGTTGATGTAGGTTGATGTCTATGATGATTGTGATGGTTGGAGTGTGGGCTTTGGTTCCGAAGGCGCAGAGGAGGGTGGATTGAAGGTGGTGTTCCATACGTTTTGACCATAGAGACTATAGAAAATAGAGTTTCGAATATGCTCTAGTGAGTACTATCTTCTGCGTTCTGACTTCCCTCGATTCCTTTCTCGCATACTATTTTGAGCAATTCGTGTGGCGCATGTCTTGGAAATTTGGGGTGTGGAGGCAGTATAGAATTAGTGTTCGTGTATTGTTGGTCCTATCTGGGTTCTACTCTTCTTCGATGCCAGTCGAGCAGAAGACGAGTTATATTTCCTCCACTTACTCCCTCGTTCAGTCGCATCGAAGTCTGGACTTCCGGCAGAAAAATAGTCCACTATCGGACTTACGGACTCACTACCCTCCCATCGCCGTCCAATCAACGTCGGATGGATGTCGATATGAGCTAATTCCATTTTGTCCCGCCGGCCCGCCCCTCAGCTGGATGGGCCACACCACCCCTATCTTGTCAGCGCGTTCAAGGTCTTGACTCAACCAAACCTTACTTGTTGCTTCTGCTCGATTTTCTTTGCTTTCTCACTTCACGTATGAACGCAAAGTGTATGTAAAAAGAGCTGCTTCTTGTACTCGTGTAACCGGGCAGCATGGCGAAGCAACGATACGGCGGGTAACGTTTTCCTTGTACACCAGGTCGTGTAGCCTGAGTCGTGCCCTTTCGATCGACGACAGACATGCGCAGGAGCGGTACTTCCGACATATAAAGTTCCTCGGGCTTATCAGCTAATTTTTTTTCTCCTCTGAGCCCATCTTCCCTCCGTGCCTCCTCTGTTCCCTGCGAGCCACGACTGGCGGTCCTCACAATGACCTCAACTGCAGTAGACCAAGCTTCCAACGTGGACCTTCACCATCGCGAGCAAGATGTTGGCGAGGCGCGTACCTCGGACGTTGACGAAGCCATCGAATACCGTCACACTCAACCTGCCGCTATCCCCGAAGACTCAGCCCTCGACATAGACGCTCCCCCAGACTCAGACGACAAGGAAGCCGATCCCTCATATGATCTCCCTTCATTCCTTTCCGCACCCAGCACTCGCGTCCGTCGCCGTTCCGAGCTCGCATTCTCCCGCCCCCCTCCAAAAGTCACATTCGAATCCTACGCCACCACTGCGTCCGGATCGAACGCCCAGCAACCACCTCCGTACCCATATTCCGAATCGTACGAGCTTCCAGCCATAACGCCCCCTGCTATCGACCGAGCAAATTTCGACCTCGAGGACGGGGCCAGCAAGATTGATAGTACACCGGGTCCTAGTGCAGGACCTAGCAGAGCACCGTCGTTGGCGTTTGAGTTGGACGAGAGCACGACAGCTCTGAATAGGCCGAGCGCAGCGCAAAGGGCAACGTTTAGGCGGTATGCGAGGCTCCATCTTGCCGCGCTCTATTTTTGTTTCTTCTTGGAGGGATGGAACGATGGGACGAATGGCCCTCTTTTGCCGAGGATTCAGAGTGTGTATGGGGTACGTCGGTCTTCTGTTGATTATCATCCAAGGTTTTTGGCTGATAGTAATGCGGGATATGGTGTGGTCCTGTGTTGTGGTGTGGAATGTCGCGTTTCCGTGAACATGGCGTGTAGATTGGTTTCGCCATCGTGTCCATGATCTTCGTGACGAACTCTATCGTGAGTGTGGCAGCCTACGTTCGACCATAATGGGTTAACGAGCAAATGGTTGTTTGCTGCATTGTAGGGATTCGTCTCTGGTGCGGCTATGAATGTCCACCTGAGTGATAGATTTGGATTTGGGAAGGTCATGCTCGGCGGTTCGTTTTATATCTGTTCGTTCCTTGTCATTCGCGGTACGAAGGCTCATGCTTCTGTCTATGCAGGCTCGCTCTGCCAAGTTGTCTGTTATGCCATGATGATCCCAGAAGGTCCTTTTGCGGTGCGTGTCGTAGCGTACGCGATAGCAGGCTTCGGGATCGCTCTACAGGTGCGTTTCCAGATCCCACCGCCCTTTCTTTTGGCTTCGAACGTGATAACTTAGACGGCATATTTGTTGTACAGAATGCAGGAGCAAATGGCTTCGTCGGTAGCCTGCATAAGCATACCGAACGTAAACTTGGATTTTTGCATGGTTTTTATGGTACGCTTTCTCAACAATGCGCCTTTTCCACCTCCTCGCTCGTCCTCCGGTGGGAAACCAACGTTAATGTCCATGTTGTGGCTTCACGTAGGCATCGGTGCATTCGCAGCCCCGCTCGCAGCAACGTACTTCTCTACTGCACCCCACTGGACGTATCACTATATTATTTCACTCGGTATTGCCGTGACGAACAGTATAATACTCGCTATAGTATTCAAGGGTCGGACACAGGATGGTGCGTAGGATCGTTCATCCCCCAAAGTACACGACACTTATATTTCTCTGGGCGCGCGGTGTCAACGGTACAGAATGCATGGCCGAAGAAGGACAACCGCCTGGCGAAGTTGGCGAATCGGTTCAGAGCAAGTATAGCCAGATCATGAGGTTGAAGGCCGTTCACGCTCTTGCCATATTCTCGTTGATATACGTCGGAGTGGAAGTCACGCTGGGAGGTGCGAACCCATCTTTTCTCGTTCATTGTAATTATGTACTGATGTGATGTGGTGTTGAAGGCTGGATCGTGACGTTCATTATCAACGAGCGCCATGGTGGACCAAGCGCAGGATATATCTCCTCTGGTTTCTTCGGGGGTGCGTCCGTATTCAACCTCTCACAGTTGGGTTGAAGTGCAGATGGTAACCGGGTTTGTCCTCATTCGCAGGTCTGACGGTGGGTCGTATGACTCTCACTTGGCTGAACATGAAAATCGGAGAGCCAAGGGCCTTAGTCATCTACACTATCATTTGTATCGGGTACGTCTAGCCTCTGCAGCTGCTCTTATAATTTCTCCTCCCCTTCTTACCAATGGACTCGTACAAACCGCCACCAGTCTCGAAGCAACCATTTGGGCAGTCCCTTCCCTCATCGAGAACGCCGTCGCCGTATCTGTGATTGGCGTCCTCATGGGCCCAATGTATCCTATCGTCGTCAACCACGCGAAGAATGTCCTTCCACGCTGGCTACTCACCGGTGCTATTGGCTGGATCGCAGGCATTGGCATAGCGGGGAGCGCGGTGCTGCCGCTCATCACGGGTGTTCTGGCGGCGAGGTTTGGTATATCGAGTTTACAGCCGTTGTGAGTGACCTCGCTTCCTTCCATTCTCTCTCCCTATTTCCCCCCTCTCTTTGGTCAATGCTGACTGCGATATGCTATCGTTGTGTGGCGTTCTAAAGCGTTGTGGCCATGATGGGGTTTATGCTTGCGATCTGGGCGGTAATTCCGAAGGCACAACGGCGGGCGGATTGAGCCCTCACCAAAACAAAAAAGACATGCGAACGTGTGTCATGTTCAACTACGTCTAGCTCCGGATGGTCAGATTTCCATTTGGTTTCCCCGACGTTGATCCTTTCGATCGTGTTCAAATCTGTTCAGATTATCTGTTGTTATAGTACCGGCGGGCCAAGGCCCATTGTGCGGCGTCATGTTCACTCGTCTAGATGCTCTTCATCGTTCTTTACGCTCTCTTCAGAGCATGCCATTCGCGTGGGTGCCTTGCATGGGGCTCACCTCTTGTTATCTCTTTGTAACTAGACTTTTTGATCTTTTGCTTTTGTTCTCGTCGTTCCTCGTTGTCTTGTTTGTGTCTTGTTTGTAGATGTACTGGCACCCTAGAGGCCTTTGTGATCAATTGACTGTGTTGTTTGCACCCTTAAAACGAAATATACATGTATATAGACGTCAGATAGTTGCGAACGTTCAGCGTTCAACTTTTCCCCATCCTAGTCATAGCACACAATCTGAAAGCAAAGCTTTCCGACAGCAGGACCAGGCCGAAATTGCAATACTGTAGTTTTTCGACCGTAGGTTCGTGGGAAGATATGTCAGACGTGACCTTCGCCAGACTAAGGTTCGTCTGGGTGGGCCACGCGTGACGAACCAATGAAGTTGTTCGCGGAATGACCGAAAATTTGATTTTTGGGCGATTTTTGGCGCAAATCGGTCACGATTTGCTGTTCGTGGGTCCGCGCATATGCGTGACCATCGGGGCAAATATGTTCGCCGGCGCAGGCGCATGGCATATGCGGGGCGAGGTCCAATCCCGGTGCGGACAATTTTGGGTCAGAAAGTGGTTCCATGTTTGATCATGGTGCGTACATTTTCGGTCTCCCAAGTACCCCACGTCCGATCCCAAACGAGACAAAAGTGGTGAGCTCGCAGCGAGGTCCGATCCTACCATAGCCCCAGTGCGCACAAAAGAGATAAAAATGACTCGTGAGAGATCCGCTCCAAACACTCGCCGACGAGGTGCGCACATAATGACAAATAAAACACATATTTTCGAGCTCTATGCTGGGCAAGGTCCGATACGAAATGAGTACCAAATGTCCTCCAAAACAGGGCACCCGATCCGAGTGCGTACATTCCGCTCCCAAATCGGTCCGGACAAAAAGGGCAAAATCCGGCGATTTTGGATCGGACCTCCCTAGGCATATGCCATGCGCCTGCCGGCGCACCCTGCGTGATGCGTGACGAACATACGGTCGAAAAACTACAGTATCGTGGGCCGTTTATCCAGGGGGACCCTGGCTGAACTTCGTGATCTTATCAGATAAGCGATGAATGATCTTGTGATCATCACCCGCCTCCACTTTCGCAGCTCGCCGTCGCAACTCGTACTAGTAGCGTCTTCCATCACGACAGTGCGACTTTCATCCCACCATATATTTGCTATACTCTTCAGTAATTCAAGACCTCAGCATGTAATCTACTGACAAACCGAAGCTGGTGTGCGCCGTTCGAGGAAATCCGCTTTTGAATGGATGTCGTGGGTCTCTTTGAAGTCTCAGTTTTCCAAGCCTACAACAACATAAATGCGACATGCGGGGCCACCAAACGACAAGTTCTTGGAATTGGCGCCATATAGCTTTCCTGTACGGTCTAGATTAGGTATCGAGGTGCTCGATCACTGCTTTTGCAATTCGCCTGTACTCGACATTACTTACCCGAGCGTGCCGCGGTGCCAGCTCTTCGCTCCTACTTCTCACGAAGGGAGCTGACCTGCCGCCAGTCTTCGTGTCGACGGCACTTTTTTACCACGGTGAAATTGCAAGGGTATAAGAACTTTCTCAAGATGCCCTCATCGCTCGTCAGCTTCGAACAGTTCTCACCTGGCATCATACGCCCTCCTAGCTTCTCACTCTCACATCCAATTCCTCGCCAGCCATGGCACATGTTCTCATCGTAAGCGTACGTCTGTTCTATCAACAATGCGTTTCTCAACAGAATTCCTGTATAGGTCGGTGCAGGACCCACTGGTCTCACACTCGCTCTCAGCCTCACTCAGAACGGGATACCAGTTCGAATCGTTGAAAAGCTCTCCATTCCATCTGACTCACAGAGGGGCACGGGTCAAATGGTAGATCATACATGCCTTTAACAGTCTTCTATATACAGGGATCAACCGACATCTTTTTCCATAGCCCAGAACCCTCGAGATATGGAAGTTCATGGGCATCTTGGATGATATTCTTGAAGCCGGACGACCAATCATACCTATGAAGCAGTACGACAAGGAAGGCAAAGTAACAAAAGTGCAGTCTGTCGTCATGGGCGATCATACGCCTACGCCTGCGATTCCGTGGGTGGGTCTTTTCGCGCGTTCGTAGTTATTTACCTTGACTGACCTCGGTTTCATGGCGTGCATGGGTAGAGAGATGCGTACATCATAGGCCAGGAGACCGCTGCACGTGTCTTAAGTGAACATTTGTCGAAGCTGGGCGTGAACGTTGAATTCGGTTCAGAGCTTGTTGGCCTACAGCAACACGAGACCCACGTAACTGCCTCCGTCAAGAAAGGTTCACAAGCTGAGACTCAGACATTCGACGTGAAGTATGTGGTCGGAACGGATGGAGCCAGAGGTAGATCTTTGATAAATTGTTGTACACGGCTTTGCTCATGCTTCCGTTTACTTGGATTTGTAGGAGTCGTCCGAAAGATGATTGGACTGGAGCTGCTTGGTGAAACAAAGCAGGACGTCACCTGGGCCGTTGGGGACGTTCGACTTCGTGGGCTGGATTTATATGTAGGGTGCCTTGATTTTCAATTCCATACGTTCTATCGCTGACACCGTCGTGATTCCAGCACTGGCATAATTTTGGCGATGCTCCGGGAGATGTGTACGTAGCTTAATTCGACGACTCTCCATCTGCCGTATAGAAAGTAACGGCGCATGGACAGGGTATCGCTTCTACCCACTAAACGAGCCTTTACCGAAGATCTCTTCTTCTGCGTATGCATGGGAAGCCGAGAGGATATGGAGAAGGCTGTCAACGACAAAGAACATTTCATCAAATTCATCAGAAAGGTTAGCTGTAAGCCCGACTTGGAGATTAGGGAGGTTAAGAGTGTGGCGTTGTACCGGTGAGCTTTTAGCCTCACACGTTGCTTAACCGAAAGTTCTCATGGACATCCTATTGAACGACTAGCCCGAACAATACACGAGTCGTCAAGACGTTCAATGAGGGCAGAGTGTTCCTCGCGGGAGGTCCGTCGTCTAATGCCATTTCCTTCGCGCGTGGTCGATTTATCGTCGATCTGCAGACGCAGCCCACGTACACAGTTCAACGGGTGGTCAAGGTCTCAACTCCGGAATTATGGACGCTGTAAGCTTCCACATTCACTGTCATCGTATATTTTCACGAAGTCTTGATTGCACCTTTGCGTAGTTTAACCTCGGATGGAAGCTCGCTCTTGTCATCAAAGGTCTCTCTCCGTCGTCACTCTTGGATACATACACCGAGGAACGCTTGCCGGTCATCCAAGATATGCTTCGACGTACACAAGAGTTACTCAAGAAAACTATGGATCCAAATCGCAAGGAATCAGCTTTGCTACGTCCACAGGTTAGATCCCAGCTTGTATCATTACCTTCGATCTCTCGATAACGCTAGCATCCCTTGTACAGGTCCTGCAGCAGCTCGGTGTCAACTACAGGTCTTCCTCTATCGTGGTTGACGATACCCAGGACGAAGAGACGGCGAAGCAGACTATTACTAGCGCGTACGAGACTGACGATGTTCTCCGAGCAGGCGTTAGGGCGCCTGATGCTCCTGAACTCCGAGTTCTCTCGGGCAGTCCAACCACTACGACGAGGCTCTTCGACATATTCCACTCTACGCACCATACTGTGTTATTCCTCTTGCATAAGACTGGGAGCGACGTTGAAGCGGATATTCCTGCCGTACTGGATGTCCTCTCTCGTATACAATCGGACGTGGCACGCACTGTCGCAATCTATGCGAAAGGATCGACTCCTGACAGTAATGACACCGTGAAGAGGGCCGATGTCGTGTTGGAGGATCGTGCGGGACACACCTTTGATGCTTACGGTTCCGAGGAGGGGGAGTCACGCATTGTTGTGGTGCGTCCGGATGGATACGTCGGTGCCATTGTGAAGAACGCGGAAGGGGTGAGACGGTATCTCGGGAAAGTGTTCGTTGGCTTCTAGTAGACTGAGGTAGCCTTCGTTCATGATACTTGGTATTCCATATCTGTAACGCTTTTCTTCGACTTATCATTGCACTGATAGCCTTGATTTTCACCCTCATAAATACCGATAATATTCCCCCCTATCCACCATTGCACCACTGTTTACAACCAGAACACAAAACCCCAGAGAAAAAGAAATATCCCACGAATACCCTTTTCAACACATCCTAACTTTCTAAATGGGCCTGATCCTTGCGAGAAGCTCTACTCTCGTCATGACCCTTAGTTGAAGTGCCAGCTGCCGGTGAGGACGCCCTGGCTCAAGGGAGCGAAGTATTCGAAGAGGGTGGGCGAGAAGTCGAGCCCGCCGTAGGGGCAGCCAGGGCACTAAGTACACCATATAAATGCTCTTCAGACACTGTATGTTGTGAGGGAGAAATACAAGAAAGACAAACCTTGTCGACGATCTCAGCGGTGTGAGTCTTACCGTTGGCGGTGATGGTGATCGTCTGGAAGCAGTGGGGGCCGGGGTACCCAGAACCGTATTGCTAAACGGACGCATAAACGGTAAGTCAAAAGCATCGAATGTCAATGTTCGGAGCGGTGACCCACATCAGCGTTGAGAGCGACGACCTGTAGAATAGGTTTGCTCGTCAGATGGGGAGGTATGATAATGGCTACAAGATCCTGTAACTCACAAACTCAGAGTCGCTGTGGGTTTGACCACAAGCACCGGCGGCGCTGGCGAACACCACATCTATATCAGCATCGAATTCAACGCCTCCGATATCGAAGGTAAGACTTACCCGCCGACTTCGTAGTAGGTGAAGCGTTCGTTGCTGAACGTCTGCCTCTTGTTCAAACTGCTGTCGATGGCAGTGGCCATGCTAGGGGCCACAGCAGCGAGAAGGGAGGCGGCACCGAGGAAGAGAGTGGAGAAGCGCATTGTTGTATATGAAGGGGTAGTTTGTTGGGAAAGAGCTAAGAAGCTTGGTAGATTTAATGAGAAGGCTGGGGGATGAGTTCTGTACTTCTCGAAAGCCGACCCTTTTATAACATTCGCGAGCTGGGCGATGCTTATGGCACCTCAATCAACTTGTCGCCAATTTCTTGGTATACCATACGGAACTCTGGCAGAAGGAGAAGTGAGGAACGTTGTCTCGCTGGCGAGCGCGCCGTTGTTGTACGTTTCCGGGCGAGTATACTAAATGGTGTCTTACCATCTAGTCATTGCCGTACTTGCGCGAACCCATACCAGCTCCGAGGACCACAAATGGGATGGCTAGATCCCCAGAACATCAAACCTTTCTAAAACAAACAATTCAAGGCTAGATTGTGCAGACTGTGAGATCGCTATGCATACTGACTGACTTCTTTACCAAGGATAGATGTGGCTCCCCTTAGGTTGCACGATCCCGAGCATAGAGTCATGGCACTGCGTAGGTGCGTCGGCGTGGATGTATTTTGATAAAGGGCGCATATACTGCGAATGCGTCCTCGTGCTACCACGTTCAGTTGAATGAAGCGCCCATAGTACATGCAGCAATGATAAACTTACGACATGTCAAAGCGCTGAACTGCGAACGTGAAACTTGATGAGGGCAGCTCGCTTGGTCGGCAATATGGGCAACCGATGTGGTCTACTGAACTGGCGGAAGACGAACGTTGTCTGGCGTGAGCGTCTCTTGTATGGTTTCGCGGAGCAGGAGGAGGGGGTGGGCGACTACTTATGGTGAAACCTTTTTTTTTTGGAAGTGATATGGACAGAAATGGGCTTGGCACTCACGAGATGGAGGTTAGTAATTGCATATTTGCTTGTTAGCCTGCGAGCTATAGAAACGATCGCTGGCCCACCTGCGATAATATTCAAGTTCCTGTAAACTGTAGTTGGAGCATGCAGTAAGCCAAGACTCGAAGTTATCATCGAAGTGTGGAGTGTCAGCCCACAAGCAAAGTGAGAGGGGAATCTGGCTGGCAACATCATGACACACCAGTACTAACGAACTTACCATCAACTTCGCAGAGCTTCGCCGATAACCGGTTGCTACGATCATGTGGCGTCACGTCGAACGACCCCGAGGATTGATGTGGCGCCCTGGCCCTTCGAAACTTCAGCGACCAGGGGGGCCGAGCTCGTAACAAGCCACAGTGAATGTAGTCTAGTGTAATTGAACCTTGAGCGGTCCACAGACGCGACCCGCCTCAAATCCGACGTCCACACTGGCATGCTACGGCACCAAGTTCTCGTTTCTTCTGACTTCCTAGCTCATTGAGCGGGCGAAGTGCAGCCATCAGCATAAAGAGTGAGTTCCCGAGAAATGCTGAAGTCTTGGCTATAAGTTCTCATGATGGACGACCTTTATTGTCTTTATGGAGAGAACGAAGCGCCGTTCTGGCGGTTAGAGCCTGAAAATGCTTATATCAGTTTCACTTTGTCTGTTCTTGGCCCAGGTAACTCCTTCGATATAGGACTGACAGAAGTCCTCGGAAAGGGAAGAGAGTCGGAATGAGTAAGCGGAGTGATGATTTTTCGCAGAGGATATATATTCCAGAAAGTTTCGTCAGGAGATGAATCGTCACAGAGCACCCTTCGGCAGACGTACCTCGTGAAGCTGGGGGCTTTGTCCATTCACTGATACTCCACCTAAACCGTCATCAACATTAAGTAGTATGCTAGACGGCAGATCATGGCGCTCAATCCAGGGAGGGAGGAAGCGTTTCGGTAGCGTCTTTGGGATGCGTATGTGTAACGTCTCAGGTCAACGTTCTAGCTCCAGGTAGGGAATTTATGTGTTGTCCGCCAAGTCTGATATATATGCGACGTCGATCTGGATTCTGGTCACTCACGAATTCGTGGAAATAGATGAATGCGATTCTATTATCAGCGTGGGTTCGGCGTGGTATGTGCTTGATCGCGGCGCAGGTCCGTCTGTCAATGTGCGACGGTTTCTTGAAGATACAGACATCGGCGCGACTCGCGACGTGTATTTGGAGATTGAAGTGAATAACATCCACCCGAACATCCATCCATCGACTGAAATAACAGTCAACCACGGAAAAATCAAGTACCATCCATCCATCCATCCATTCATCGCACCAACAGCGGTCACTCCCTCCGTCCAACACCATCGCCATCCCGGCCCCGATCCAATCACACACCACCATTTGCTCAGACCGAGAGCTCACGACTGCTTCACCGCCTGCGTCGCACTAACCGTACTCTGCCACCAGAGGACCATGCCCATAGAGAGGATCCCATGAAGACCGCCCCAGAGGATTTCGGGTGTGAATTTCGAGCTGTGGGTGGTGACGGAGTTGGGAGACGCGATGATAAGAGGTGGTATGCGATATGGGGATGGAGTAATGATGAGGAATTAGTATACGTGCATCATGACTATGAATATAGTAGGAAATAGGAGGAGAAAACTCGAAGAAAGAGCGAGGAGGATGGCGTGGTGCCACACGACCCGTGAGACTCGGACATCCGCCAATACGGTCAAAAAGAAAACCGAGTCTAGCGCCCGTAAAACAATAGGGAATGGGGGGACAAGGATGACGAAATTGCGGAGAATCAGGACGTACGCTTCAGCAAAGGGTCCGAACGAATGCGGGATGAACCTGGGAGCTTGGAAGAGGACGGTCGAGGCGACGGAGTGATATATGCAGAGTTGGATTGCGAATGCGCGTTTGCCGGGGAGGAAGTCTGTATAGTATTATTAGAGGATGAAGGAGAGTGTTAGTCAAGGTGTTACCGATGCCGAAGGAGAAGCTGGACGCACCAGGAAGCGGATAACACAACAGCGCCGCAACGCAGCTCGCCAGACTCAACGACGCCAACAACTATCATACCAACCCACACACCCACCAAAAGAGCAACGATCAGCAACGACATCCGAGGGGAGTAAGAATAGAAGGAGGGAGGGGTGTGTGCGAACGCTACCTTCAACATCACGAGAGTCGTGTTCGTCATCTGCATGAACGGTAACGCCTGGGGTGACCATATCCCCTGAACGGCAAGCGGGATTTCCAGTGCGATGTGCAGGAGGAATACGGCCGCTCTGTATATTCAGGGATTATCCGTCCGTTTGTGTAGTGGTCGAGATGAGTAAGGTGTTCAAGGGGACGGTGGGGAGAGGAAGAGCAAGGGGTCGTGGTCATTGATAGTAAGCCCGTCATGGAAAGAATGGTCAAGTAGTCAATCAGTTATGATATCCACAAAACAAAAACAGAATAAAGTGAGCATTCAGAGCAAACAAGCAACTTTGCTTTGCAGAGCTCAGAACGAAGAGGAAGAATACTCACAGAGGACCAGCACGAGGAGCTTGCATAGGCTGTGACATTGATACTGTATCTTATCAACTATCAGTGAACTTGGCTTCGTGGTCGTCGTCGTCGTTGCTGCCGGTGTCGTCCAAGAGAACGGTGAGAGCGAATGTACAGACGATGAGAAAAGAACACGGCCTGGAGCTTATTCCTGCTTGTTCCCGACTCAGCCGGCGGTCCACTCGCAATTGTTCATTATCGGACGGTCAATGAGCATGCGCACGCGCACGGTCAGGGGGAATGATAAAGAATTGCTTGATCGTTCCTGAGAACGAGATAAGATATTACAGGAGGCCCTGATCGTGAGATACTGGGGACCAATGGGCCGGCCTGGAAAAAACATAGCCAGGACCGAGGACGTGTCGTCTGAATCTAAGGAGCACGGTCAGGTTGAAGGAGCAAGGTCGAACTTAAACTCGAGGACAGCGATCTATTTCTCGAGACCTATCTGGATACAGTTGAAGATGAAAGGTAGGTAGTAATAGCATGAAAAAACGAGTCCGACGATCTAACTATGGTGCAATCGGGCTAGTCGCCACCAACTTTGAACAAACCGGAAGAATCCGTTTTGTGCGTGCGAAAATGAATATTTCGACTATCGGTTTAGTGGAAATGCTCCTTTTGATGAGGGGAACAGTTCCTCTAAACCGATTGTCGAAACTCTCAAAATTGAGGGAGATAAAAATGGTAGTCTCCCACGATTTTGCCACCTTCCTAATAAGGAAATAAAGGACATCGTCAATGTTTTTCTTTCGATTTTCTGGGTTTTCGATGGCTCGCCAGAGTTTTTGCCGCTGTCCAAATTAGGTGATGACTAATACGTTTGCACCATACAACGCATGTATAACCGAAGGGGACAGGTTTTGTACGAGCTCGAGCGACTCGGAGGTACGGGTACAGGTAAACTTAAACAAGACGACGTTAACGTTTTTGGAATCGTGAAAAGACATAACCTGATAACCCGACAGCCCATAAGCCCAAGGAAATTGGCGAGAGGAACTACGAAAACAGACAGGGTGTATAGAGGGAAAAGGGAGAGGGTAGAGGGAAATAAACACATAATCATAAGCACCACGATTTAAATTAATAGATCAGCACAGTAGTAAAAGTCCCAGACCGCACTCGTCAAGCCGATACGTACTCTTACACCCAATTACTTGCGCGACCACGCACGCTCGCGGTCACTTCACTCCTCGCCCTCTTCTCCTTCCTCCCCGTCATACAAACTCCCACTCTTCCTCCAAGGCCCTCCTCCCCCAATCATCCCCTCATCCACATCTCTCTCCAGATCCACCTCTCCTAGCCCGCTCAAGCTCATCCCCATTCCCCCTTCACCATCGCCCATCCCCATCTCCATCCCCATCTCCATCTCTCCCTCAAACCCATCCGTACCCCCCATTTCCTCCCCACCCTCCCCAACACTCGCCAACCCCCACCCCCAGGCCCACCCACCATCCCCCTCAACCTCCTCACCTCCCCCCTCAACCTCTCCATCTCCTCGTCCCTCCGCCCCACCATCCCCTTCAATATCCTAATATACTCATTCCCACACCTCAACAACTGCAACTTACTCACGCCCCTATTCGGGCCATCTATGTTTCCGCGGGGTGGACCGCGGGGGGGCATAGCGCCCGGGAGGAGGGTCTCGGATTCGGTGAACATGGAGGGAGGGAGGGGAGGCGCTGTAGGATCTTGTGCACCATTACCACCATTAGTGGAAGAGGATGGATCGCCTGGGTTGGTAGAGGAGGCGTTGGGGTTGGAGGGGTTAGTGGAGGAAGAGGAGGGGAGAGGGATGGGCGGGAGTAAAGTGCGGAGGTCGTCGAATGTCGTTTTGAGGCTATCCCGCCGTTTTTGTTCGGCCGCTTTATGCGACGTTTTGCGCATCACTGGCGAGCCGGAGCCGGAGCCGGAGGTCGGGTTGAAGGAGGGAGAGGTGAGGCCTGAGTTTAGGTTTCCGGCTGTTTGGGCATGAGCATCGCGAAAACCACGCAGAATGGAGGGGGGGGGGGAGGTGTAGGTTAGTCTGAGTATGAGAGGGAAGAGCGGACGAAGAAGAAGAAACGCACCAGGCAAAATCGGCTTCAAACTCGGACTGATCAAGCTCCCCTCCGCCCCCGCTCTCCCTCCCGTCCCTCCCTGCTTCCTAACCCTCGACGAGCTCCTCGTCGCCACCTTTCCTCCCGTCCCTCCACCACCGCCACCACCGTTACCTTTGCTGCCTCCACTGTTGACACTACTGCCTCCACCATTGCTGCCACCCGCATCGGCGTTGATGTATGGATTCGCAGGACTCAGCACCGAAGTCGAAGACGAAGACGAGTGAGGAAGAGGAAGAGGAGGTGGTGCGAGACTCGAATCGATACCGAGTCTCCCGAGGTTCATGATCGATGCGGGCGTCACGGGCGTATAACTCTGCATCCCACCCAACCCACCGAACCCGCCCATCCCACCTCCGACGAAATCTCCCTGTCCCTGCTGTCCCTGGTTCTGGTTCTGCCCGAGTGGGTTTGAAGATATAGAAGGTGTAGCAGGAGGAGGCATGGACAGATCAACAGGCGACGGCGAATCATTCGGGGCTTCGCCCATCCCTCCTTGTCCCGCACCGCCACCGCCACTCACACTATTCTTCCTCCCACTCCCACCGCCACCCCTCGTACCCCTCAAAAGCGGCGTCGAACTCGCGCTCTTCGTTCCCCTCCCCGTATTCGCACCAGCACCCACATTCCCACTCGTACTCGTTCTCCGCCCCATGCCCATCACAGGGTGCACAGCAGGCGAAGGTCTCGATCGCGATCTCGATCGTTGGGCTGAAAAGCGGGCTTGTTCGTCTTCGGTGGCGGAGGGTGACGCTGTGCGTTTGTTTCCTCTCGATGTCGAACCTGAACCTGAACCTGAGCCCAAACCTGAGCCGGAGTTGGAATTGGAGCCAGACCCAGAGTTCATATTAGACGGCGAAGCCAATCCGAGCGACGGATCGACGGGCGAATGCAAATTCGACGACGCGCCCGACCCTGCGCCCGCGTTCGTGTTCGTGTTCTGAAGATGCGGGTTCTGGCTGTTATACGCTTCTATCCAGGGCGACGTCAACGGCGAGAGATCGAAATCCATTTTGCCGGGGCTGGGGAGGGGAATTGGGGGCGTGGTGTTGAAGACGAGGTTTGCGGGGGCGGAGTGGATGAGGTGGGCGGGGAGGTGATGATGTTGGTGGTGTTGACTAGAATGTTGCTGTTGCTGCTGTTGTTGATGTTGGTGGTGGTGAGGTTGTTGGTGAGATTGTTGGGATTGGTGTCCGTGCCCGAAATGCGTGAGGTGCGACCCGTGCGGATGCGGTGGCGCGAGCGTCATTTCGGGCGGGGGTTGAGAGTCAGGATTGGAGGAGGAGTTGGAGGAGCGGAAGTGGTGGGAGTTGTCGATGAAGGAGAGGGCCATGGGGGAGACGTAGTCGTTGGCGGGGGATGATTGGGCGTGTAGTTCGGTGGAGGACACTATGAAGAGAATAGTGGTTAGATATATGATTCAGAGGCGAGAGAAAGGGGAAAAGGAGAAGGGTTGGGAGGGGGATGTTAAGAAGTAGTACGGGGTCTTCATAGGACCCTTGCTAGGAAATGTGCAGAGTGAAACCGTGACATGACCTCTGGATGTGGAGAGTATAGGGATATCACCGAAGGATAGAAGAGAAGGAACATACTCGGCGTAGGCAATCCCAAGAAATTAGAATTTTGTTTGGGCGCAGAGTCCATCGCGTTGCCCATACCCTGCCCACTCAAAAGCTCAAGCTATGCATTACAACGACCACAAGTAGAAGGCCGGTTCAGTTCACGGCCGCCACTATGTCGAATAAACAAAGGCCAGAGACGAACCTGCTGTTGGATGATCTGATTCTGCAGTTGCAGCTGCTGCAACTGATTCAGCTTCAACCGCTGCTCGAGCATCGCCTGGTGATTATACTGTGCCTGCTGTCCAGCTCCACCACTAACCCCTCCACCCTGCTGCTGCTGCCCACTCCCGCCATTTCCACCACCTGCACCGTTCCCGGACCCCGCACCCGCTAGCATCTCGCTCAACAGATCAAAGTTGCCCACTCCACTCGACGACGCCGGATTCGACGGATTATACATCGTTGAACGAGACTGCTGCTGCTCTCCGGGGTGCCCAGAGTGCGGCAGGAGGTGCGGCGAGGATGTGAGGCTGACCGGGCCCGAATGCTGGTGATGATGCTGGCTATGGGTAGTATGAGGGTGCGAATGGGAGTGGGAGATGGGCGAGAAGTCGGAGGAGGTGAAGAGCGTGGAAAAGATGTCTTTCTGGGCGTTATGCAGCCCGAGCGCGTCTGGCGCTTGTTGTCCGTCCATGGCTGACCTGGGATATTACCTGGATTATACGAAGACTATATACGACAGCGTCGCTGCGTCCCAGAATATTCAGAGAAAATCGGAGGAAAGGAGGACGATGCAATGCACACCGTCGGCGTACTCTCGGGCGTCTCTCGGTCTAACCCTCTTCGTGCCGCAAAAATTCAATTTAGTCCGGCGGTGTGGCCCAGTGGCGCTATGTACTTACCGACGATTGCCGATGCTCTTTTCATTTCCATATCAGACCTCTTCTTTGTATTCTTACACTCGGTTCCGCGCTGGCATACTCAGGACAATGTCGATGAAGCCTACTAAGTACTGAGCTCCGAGTCGCCTCCTGGGAGGCTCTTGTCTGTTTCTGGCTATATCTCCTGTTGAACCACATGTATATATGGTACCGTACATACATCACCTCACCTCGTACGCCACACCTCTCGCCACACCTGTCTCTCTGTTTGTACGTATTTGGCCTATATAGTCGGTCCTCGTCCATCCATGGACGGGATCCGTTCTCCCTTCGTTAAACCTCGCACCGTGTCCACGACATACGGTTCATCGTCTCCAACTCTTCGTATCATTCAGAATGACGTTGCGGGTCGTCCGAGTCTAGTCTCTTGCTGGCCTCAGCACGCAGCTTCTGCACCTGATCGCGCACCTGCTACTTAGCTTGACCTTCAACCAGGTCTTCAGTGCTCTGCCTTCTTCTCGTAAAACTGGATGTCGAAATCTGCCGCACGAGGAAATCCTGACCTTTCATTACTGACTATTTCCGAGTCGTAGCACCGACCAATGCCGAGAAACGCGGCAGGTCCTTGATCGCCCTAAAGCTAATGAAAATAGAACTAAAAACAGAACTAGTATGTTTTCGATCGATATACAGCTTTCCTCTCGTAAAGGAAAATAGAAGGCAGAAAATGCTATCCCAAAACCGTGGTCGTCACCAGGACCGTTCATTACCGCACATTGAACATCCAGGAGTCACATTTCATTAATTTCATTCCCGAGGCCTTATACACACCGTCCACTTTCGTCTTGCCAAACAAGAAATCAACCCTCTTCCGGCCTTTCCCACTCTCCTTCCCGTTCGCGAACGCCCTCCACCTCTTCTCAACTGCATGGCTCACGTACCTGCTGAAGTATGCCAAGCCGCGCTCCGTACCTTCCTATGACGTTTTTCGTTCTCCGAGACCCGTTATCTTTCCGTCAGATGACCAGCGCGCTCATCCATCGGCTCGTTGGGGAAACGATTGATTATTGACACTCACCACCTTGTCATACTACAGCCGACGAGTCGGATGAGTACAATAAGTAGAACACCGATAAGGTAGGATATGCGAAGGAGAAGAACGTTCCTGCAGGTCGTCCTGTTTCAGATGAAGATATGGCGCAAGCTGCGCTGAGGCTTTGCCGTCGATCAGTACGCCTATTTCCAGGTGGATTTTCCTATGACACCGTCAGCCGTACGCGCACCACGACGAGATTGCTTCTGAGTGCGACGTTCCGGTCGTCTGTTCCGACTACTAGCTGCGAGGCTTGGACCCCCAACAGAGTCATTCCCATGGTGCTCTTGTGTTGGGGACCGGTCTTCTTCGAGTTCATCGATAGTGCTGTGAGAGGTCATGAACCAGGCCTTGCAGCGCGTACTGACGTAGACAGCCGCCCACCTTCAGATCGACAATAGTCATGTGAAGAAAAATCCTCCACTCACCAATTGATTCCCGTATCTGCATTCCGCGTGTCTGCGAGATTGCACAAAGGGCATATAGCAGCCTTTGGATCTACCTCGCGATTTGCAGGACGCTGAACACGGGCATTCATCATCACCGTCGCTCCTGGTGAGATTTCCCATCGCGCACTTGTCTGCATGCTGCCCGAAGACGATATCACCTCATAGTCGCCACGTTCGACCAGACGTTTGCCGGGCCGGTCCCTGAAGTAAAAGCGTATGAAGTCGTCGAAGTCCTTCCCTAAAGGTGAGTGCGCAGTCTGACATCTGTATTTCAACGGGTAAGACATTACCTTCCACGACCCGCATAGTTGCAAAGGCAGCCACGTTTGTATCCCAAGCATGTCCAAGAATACTATGGGTCGATTCTCCGGGTTGAAGCCACCCTCCCACGGATACCCAAGACACCGAGGGATCCCTTCAACGCAACGTAGTATCTGAAAGATATTCTCTTGCGATGACCGTATGATGTTGTCAATGCGGGTGAGGGTGATACTTGGCGAACAGATCGAGCGGATGTCAATACTTTCTTGCTGCACGATGTTCCGAGCACATATGTAAGAGGAACGCACTTATTATTGACACCTAGAAGTAGTGTGATACACATTCTCTGCTCTGCGAGCTTGCGCCGTGTTTCGATGAGGTAGTTGTCCGTGAAAAAACCCCATCGAATCTTCCCCCAATAATCGAGTAGCTTCTTCCCGGTTCCGCCCTCTTCCAAACTCTCTTGAAACTTGAAGAGCTTGCCGTCCAATTCGCGCAGGATGTCCTCCGACTTTTTGACGCATTGTTGTATAGTCTGTTGAGCGTTCGTGGAAAGCGGTGATGCATCTGCGCTCTGGAACTGTGAGGCACCGTAAACAAGATGCAGAATGAATAGTGAAGTGTCTATCTCCAAAATCAATTGCTGATATTCTGCCGATGCGCCAGAGCTTTCACTAAGCAGCTTCCGAACTTTATTCGCAAGCTGTATGATAGTGATGATGTCGCCGAAGGATCCAAATGTGAAGCCAACGAGGGACATTGTGGAACAGAGCAAGATGTAGAGCTGTGTAGAGTTGCACGAGTATCAAGGGCATGTCCTGCGTGGACGACATGTGTTCTTAGGCGCTGCAGACAAATATAGAATCGTGGTCAAATGTCCTGCAGAAAAGGAATTTCATGTGGCTCTACTAGTAGGAGTGCCATCTGCTACGGCGACTCTGAGGAAGAAATAAAGAGGAATCCCATTCGTCGATCATTCCGTCGAGACTGGGTCCACCAAAAGGGCACCGTAACTTGGTCGCCAGCCTTCCAAACACCAGCCAACAGTTTCTTCTACGAGTCGTGTGGGTATTTCATTGATGTAGTTTCGATTCGACCGTAGATTCGCCCTTCTACTAAATTTCTACCGTTGGGGTTGGCTGATGAACGAGCTGTCGAGTGCTCATCTGCCAACGTCCAACACAACTGCCAGTCACTGCCGCTGTGCATTTAGATGCTTGATGAAGTAAAAATAACTCACCTCTATGGAGGTCCATACGTCTTCTCGACCACCAAGTCCTGAGAAAAAATGGCACGAATATCGGGGAGGCAAGTTCAACGAATACAAAGGCCCAGAGCACGATCATGGGAAAACAGGGGAACATGATGATCCGGGGCCGTGGCACATAATCTTCATTCTCCGACGGCCACCTCCGGAGGTGGTGGCGCTGGCATCGACGTCGAACTCGGGACTTGCTTCAGACACAACTTCGTCGATGAGTCTACTTCTTTCAGCACTCGGCTTGTCTTCCCGAGGACACTCACCGATCGTAACTCCAACATACTTCAAGGAAAGCGCGGTATCTTGCAGCATTTTTTTCTTTTTTGGACCCCCGTGGCACCTGGCTTGTCATTATTATAACCTTGTCTTAAGTGGAACAGCGTTTTGTCCTCTACCCTAGGGCACCTGTCGAAGACCGAAATGATCATTCTCAGGGAGGACGGTATACAATCCTATGAACATGGAAACTGACTGGTGCGACAATAAGTCTTATATGTACAATAAAGCTCATCGACTGCAATTTTGGCGAGGCTAACTCACTCACGCCTGCCCTCACATCCTCGTAGAGTCCCAATCTCGTGGCGTGCAGGGAGGTCCAGATCTTTACTTCACTGATGACTGTGTAGCACTCGCCAACGTCCTTCGTATGAATTTCACGGCTTATCTCTTGGGCATGATATCCGTGAGCGCGTGCGAGAAAGAAAACGGCTCACGAGAGATGCGACTTTATCCCCGCGAGGGGTTAGGGTCGAAACCCGGCATACGGTTGGACCCCGTCATCGTGCTTGGGCTAAATGGGTCTAGAATGACCTAATTATCACTCTGCAACGAATGGGGGCATGTCGTTGTCTGCACTGTCTCAGTACTCAGCGAGTGACTAACGCCTCCTCTGAGACCTAAATAGGCTATGAGCCATAGAAACAAAATTCGAGCGTGGCGCCTTCCTTTCTATCGTTTTATACCTCTCGGTACCACAGTGGGGCTGGATGATAAATGCTAAAGACGCCACATCAATGCATGGATCGTGTGATATAACACCACACGTTCGTACCAACCAGTTATCAGTGAAACTCTAATCTTTTTGAGTAAGTCCTTCCTAGTGTTTGTTTAACCAGATATCAAATTTAACTCTGCTTGTTGATTGGAAGATCTCCTGACAGCAAGCATTCTCCAGACTGTCACCTTTTCAAGCTATAAGTCCGGACAATGTTGCAGTAACTTTTCAGAACCTCTGGCGACTGATACATCTCGTCCCGGACCATCTGACCAACCCACGAGTACTAGGCATCTTAACAGTCTATATGGGAGCTTAATTCTACCTTATTTGATGTGGAGCTAACGTATTTCGACCTCCCAGGGTTTTACGAAATCTCGCATTGGCAGACGCTCATTTTGACAACAATGGACTTCACACATTCAACATTCTCTTGATTGAGTAGATCATAATTGCATCGGTCCTCGATAATACCGACAAGACGAGGCTTCACCATACACAGCTGTCAATGTTAAGATTCAGAATCGTAAACCAACGCATGCATGTAGTAATTGTAAGTACTTTGTCAACGCACTACTATAGTAAGCGCTCCACTCAACTGAACGCAGTAGCGCGAGGTTCTACACGCAGGACAAACATGTGTCCTTCATAGATCTGACCACACAGACCTATCGACGCAGTATCTTGTGGTCTGGAAAGTATATTCCAGTGAAGCACAGTGCCTATCTTTGCGAAGGAGTTTGGCCATGCTGTAACCTTCAAGTGCTTGCTTGAGAACAGTTGGGTACTGTCACGATCTTGTTTTATGCGGTGCCGTTTGTTCTCGGGATTTGGGTAGGCGCTAGTGCTACAGTTAGATGGTAAGACGCCGTTTTAGTGTTCGCCCGGGAACGCACAACTGAGATGTTCTGGCCAGCGAGACACCGTCCCTCGTTGTTCCCCCCCTTAATTTTTGCATAGTCAAACAGGAAATACGACACCTCTATCTGGAGCATGCTTCAGTTCTAGGATGTTATAAAAGGTTGGTATTCGAGAAGTACAGAACACATCCTTCCTCCCATCCCATCTCTCAACATCTCAGCACCACTCCTACCTTCGGATATAACAATGCGCTTGTCCACTCTCTTCCTCGGTGCGGCCTTCCTTCTGGCTACTTCGGACCCTAGCATGGCGGCTGCCATCGACAGCAATCTGACCGAGAGGTTCAGTGGCCAACGTTTCACTTGGTACGAGGTCGGCGGGTTAGTGCTCCTCTTCGATATTGGCGACGTTCGGTTCGGTGCTGATGTAGACCTCGCGATTGCCAGTGCCGCCGGTGCTTGTGGCCAATACCACAGTGACTCTGAGTTCGTGAGTGATAGAAACTCGTGGCTATGGACGCAACCTTCCAGCTGAAGACTACAATCCTCTTATAGGTCGTCGCTCTTAACGCTGCAGTAGGTCGTCGCCCCGCTCTTTCCAAGATGAAAACCCCAAATGCCCGCTGGGCAGTTTGGGATTCTGACTTACCGCTCCTGTATTTAGCAATTCGGTTCTGGGTACCCAGGGCCCCACTGTTTCCACAGGATTACGATTTCCTATGGAGGCAAGACTACCACGGCTGAGATTGTGGACGAGGTAAACCCTACTTTTTCGGCCTCGACCGAACATATCCAGAATCTGACATCCGTTTTCCGAACAGTGCCCTGGCTGTCCCTATGGCGCACTCGATCTCTCGCCAAGTCTCTTCAGCTTCTTTGCCCCCAAGTCCGTAGGCGTCATCTCCGGCAGCTGGAGCTTTAGCTAAGGGGTGGGGCGGCAGTGGAGCATCCCACAAACATCGGTACCAGTTACGTTGAGGTGGAACGGTTGTACGAGAAAAGGGGATTATAGGGAATCTTGTTTCTTTAGGGTTTTGGGTCTTGGTTGTAAACGGTTAGATGGAAAGGTTGTACTGGGGAAGGATTTTATAGGTAATCTTGTTTCTTTAGGAGTTCGCATCTTGGTTGTAAACGGCTAGCGGTCAATGGTGGTCAATATCATCGGTATTTATGTGAATAAGAAAATCATAGCAAATCAGCACGGAACTACGGCCGAAAGAAAGTGACACATATACGTACGCGTTTGAACGAAGGCTATCTCGATTCCTCAAAGGGTCATGAATGCCTTCTCAGAGAACCGCTTGATACCGTCCACGCGCCACGCAGTCGCCTTGCTCGTTTCCTTGTTTCTCTGACGGATCAACCTGGACGAACGACAACAATGCGCGTCTCCATTTCCGAGGAACCGCCAGCCGCAAAATCGTGCACCGCCTGGCACTTGACCAACATCCGATCTTGTCATTTCTGGGGAATGCTCCCTGGGTGTAGATCGCGACCGTGCGGGAGATCCCCGCAGGACAATGAGATAGAACGCCCAGGGCAGAGTTCAATGTCAGGAGAGACGTATCGCTGTCAGAGTCAGGTAAAGTCATCCGCTCCGAGAGCTAGGGAGGACATCCGCTCCGAGAGCTAGGGAGGATATGCAGCACCCTGTGTACGGGAGACGAAGTCCAGTACTCGACGATTCGAGCCATCGGAAGTAAGAAGAGACTGAGAGGAAGTGTGGCACGACATCGCCGTAAGTCCCGCAGAAGGGAAGCATCGTCGATTTCGAGGTCGGAATCTTGTTGGAAATTATGCGCGATGTTGGACTACAATCATCTCCATGGATTGCATGCCTTGAAGCGTGAGAGCAGCTGTCACGCTGAGATTGATCGAAGATGTTGTAGGTGGCGCGCCCACGAGCTTCAGTCAAACTCTGTGATCTGAGTCAAAATCGCATTGTGAAACAGACAACTGCATACCACATTGTGGCCCGATAAAACGCAGGAGCAACGCCAAGAACGCATAGGAGATGCACAGCAAGAAAACAAACTTTGTAGCAAAAGGAATCGGTAGTTTTCGACAGCCTCACCGTCGATGTCTGCCTCTAGCAGGAGAACATCAACGGTACCCAGTCTAGAGAGCCTGCGCAAGCATCCCGATTCCATCAGCGCCACACAAAAACCTGAAAAAAAAGAGGGACCATACAATGACAAAGTAAGAGTGTCGCGGGCGCTCGTCATGCGGCAGCTTTGGCACGGTAATCTTCCATTTCTTGGTCCAGGTCAGCCGCTGTCGCAGGCTTCTTCATCACACGTTTGGCACCTTTCTTTTGGCGTCGCCTTCGTGGACCTGCGGGAATTTGGGCGACGGCGGCAGCAGGACGGGGTATTGGACGAGGCGCCACACGGACCTTCGGTTGGCTGAAAAAAAAATGGAAGGAAAGAGAAGCAAGCGTCAAATCTATGCGCAGACTATAACGGGAAAGTAGTTTATATGGAGACTCACGTCGGTGTTGGCGCTACCGGAGGACCAACTCTAAGAGGAACAACCTTAGTACCATTCTGAGCTGACGCCGGTACATGTCCTATGCGCTGAAGTAGAGTGGGTGGCGGAGGAGCGGGTGTCGGTGCAGCTTGAAGCTTGGGGTCATCCGTGTCAGTCACTATCTCAATCTTGATGCGGTGTTCTTCAGCCACGTACTCAGTCACCGTTGTGATGAACACAAGATCTAATATAGCGGAGTGACTTACTACCGTCCACGATTTTCTGGTTGTACTTCGTCCGTGCCACAACCGCGTCGCCCGGTCGTTGGAAGGTTACGACCGCCATGCCTTTCGAACGGCCTTGGCTATTATATATGATGAAGAGATCCTTCATTGGACCAACCGTCCGTTTGAAGAGTTCCTTCATGCCAGAGACATCTCAACACGTCGTGCACCTTATATGCTCAGAAGCGGACGCGCTCACCTCAACTTCGTTTTCCCCAACGTCCATTGGCAAATTACTCAACAATATTTTGCTACCAGCTTCTACAGCCTTCTTAGGTCCCGAGCCCGATGCGATGTTGGCGTTATGAGGTAGTCCAGCGGGGACGTTCGCATTTCGCCAGGCAGGTGGGACGTGCCCCGCAGGGTTTCCGAGGAGCTGTCGTTTTGGGCCATGATATGAGTTGAGCCGAGCTGGCCCTCCACGAAACTGATTATACATTCTATTAGAGGGAAGAAACAAGCAGAAAAAGATGGGTTCAGAGAAAATTGGGCTTGAAGCTGCTTGTAGATGATGGACGCGAGAGTGAAGAGTGGATTCGGGCCACGAGGCAGACGCCACACGAACTCTGAACATCAATGACGCCACCGTATCTAGGACCTTCGAAATTCGCCGTTCTTTCAAGGTCATGGCCATGATAGGATAAGTTGTGCACAACTTTGAACTAAGCATCGAACAGGTACTTTACCTCTGTGAGAATAGCCACAGCATTCTCGTTACAATAGGCCGCGCCAGACTTATCAACAAGAAGCTCGTATTCAACTTGAATATTCTTTTGCACCCGCTAAATACACACATCGGACACTCTCTCACGAATAATCCCCGTATCGTACAATGCTAAGAGGCCATACGTCTTGGAAAGTGTGAATGTCTGATGGCTGCCTTTGGTCGACATCAGTACAGGTCGGTCGGAATTTCAAGTCAATGAACGGCCCTCTAATCAGAGTAGGGTTCCTCGTAGTCCTCTGGACCTTCAGGCGAACCTGTATGCGAGCAGCATAATAAGTAACAGAATAAATCACTGAGAGAAAGATATGGAACTGACGCTTCGCCCCTTGATAGTCGGAATATCCGATCTCGTAGTTGTTTGGACCGGTGGGGGAGCCTGCGGGAGGGAAGTAAGTCTACGTGTCGAAAGAAGTAGCAAAATTATACTGACGCTTCGCTCCTTGATAGTCAGAGTAACCGATCTCATAGTTGTTGGGACCAGTAGGAGCTCCTACAGTAACATCTCACCGTTAGTATCCAGATATTCGAAACGAGAGGTTCAGTCGAAGAAAGAACATTCTCTTTGAGGGAGGGGCAGCAAGACCCCCGGAGACGGCGATGGCAAGAAGAACGGTGATAAGAGAGAACTTCATTGCGGACGGTGGTTTGAACTCGGCGTTGAGAGCTTGTGGTGGTAGGTTGCTGGAAGAAACGACCTGGAGGATTGCAGCTGCGTGCATGCCTTTATAAGTTGGCCACCCATCTAAGAAGAAGTCCCCGAGCTGAGTAGAAGATAATCAATAAACCTCATTGGCTTGTGGAATGTAGATGGCTGCTGACCTTGGACCGCATATCGTACGGCCTTCACGGCGACTCTGTTGCAAATGCATAGAGCATACGATATGTCACTTCCGCATTGCGCAACCCTCAAGAGGTCTATTTACAGCAGCCCTAGCACGGATCCACAACCTGTCCGTACGAACAAGAGTTGAACAGAGTGTAAGAAACTCTCGGGGCAGCGCTCGGGATTTGATGCTCAGCGCCCCTTTAGCGAATAGCAGTATGTCGACGAGTAACATGACCTTCTCGCCACATCATCATGCACGGCCTATGTTTATCATTCGTCCTCCTGGGCGGCGATGCATCCTTGCGGAGCGACAAAAACAGGCTATATGATGTCAGAAGCTCGGGCCATTCAAATAGAACACAAAGATCTTGCTCTATGCTCACTCAAGCATCTAGGTTCGGAATTATGGCGATGTTTGAGGTTGCCGTCAAGACCGTAAGGATGATTCTATGGTTGCAAGTTTCAATGAGTGTAATCAGTAATCATGCCCATGAGGAAATAGGCATGCAGGTAGGGTACTACTCATCGGGATACCTCACACCAAGCATTTACCTCCACGATCCTCTGTACTCTCATACTCTCTTCCATGGCTCCTTCGACCCGTACCCAACTCTCTCTCCTCTGCGCCCTCTTCGCCCTCGCTTTCAGTGTAATTCTAAACATTGTTAGTATCAGTGTCATTCGACGCAACGCTGCACTTGGCAAGGTCGACGACAGCAAATATAGTGACTAGTTGCCACATTATTACCTTTCTGATTGCATGGATGACTTATGAGTGCTTTCACAGCGTACGAAGGAGACGACTACCCTAACCAACTTCCCCTTTATCTCCCCCCGGCAGCTCTCACAATCGAGAATGCGGACGATAGGTTCGGAGTCGCGGATTATCGTGCTTGGGGCGATTGGCGCTCGACGGATTATTTCCCGCACAATGGGTTCGTGAAGCTTGGACCTAACAGTAAGTATCAGTCTCATCCCATCGCTTTGATCTCCCACTAAAAGCATTGCCCACCTTCAAAATGTCAGAACGTGAATTCGCTGTCGCGATGTTCCATCAAATGCACTGTCTCCAGGTATGCGTCAATCGACAGCTGTGTATGAGTTATTAGAGGGTTGACCAGCAAGTATGAATGCCCCTCCCCTCTACTCAGATGATGCGCGAGGGAGTAATCTCAGGCAAATCCTCCCGCCACGTCCGGCACTGCTTCAACCTCCTCCGACAAGCAGTCCTCTGCGCTGCCGACATAACGCTCGATCCCCTCGACGCTATACACAACGGCGTACCAACAGGCGCAGACGGGTTGGGGACGACGCATGTGTGTCGGGATTGGACGAAAGTATACGATTTTGTGTGGGAGAATCAGAGGGACGTTGAGTTATGGGCTGAGTTTGAGGACCGGAGACCAGAATGGAACGGCATAGGTTCCATTGGGAGTCAAAGAGAAATGCTCCACTAGCAATGAGAGAAAGGCGCAATTGGAATGAATTAATGGTCTGGGTGTGTCATTGTAGTGTAGACGTATATACGCTTGGGAAAGATGGGCAGTAGAAGGATTGTGAAGAGGCCGGAGAGACCGAGTGAATCACGTCAAAGTGGGCCAGAGTGGATGCAGATTCATCCTCACTTGATGCAGAAGTCCTGACACCAACAAATTGTCAAGTAATTCGTGGGATGGGTCATTGACAAACAACTCGCTATTTTTGCTCTTCGATTCAAGTCCTGTGCGAGATGCTGCGCCCTAGCTGTTCGCGATTCTCTGCACGTAACGCAGGAAGCTCTTCTAAATAAGTTGATGAGCTGAGGTACTCCCAGAGATCCAAGACGATCCATGTAAGAAAATGCGCATGCGGCGAGACGTCGTCGGTGTTGAAATTTGGTTGAAATTGGGCTGCTCCTTTGTGAGAACACTCCGATTCGGCTCTTTCCGGTCGCCACTGTAACCCCTCCCAATTGACGGTCGCCACATTCCTCGTCTCTTTCCTCGACATCGATCATAGCGAAATCGTTACATCCTCCTTAGGCCTCAAGTTCTCCTCTCCCCGGTCGTCTCTCCTTTTTAATCATGGCTTAATCCTACCATAACCCCAATTTATAAAGCTACTTCATGATTCACAAGACACACTCACATGTGACGCGCTTCAGGGCATCTCGCACCCACACACACCGAAGCATCCACCTCGCTCGGAGACTCCTACAGCTGTTCTTGGACCCCTGATGGCTTCATGGGCCACAGAACTAGGGTTTTCCAACTGATATCTCCTTCGCTTCATCGGCCCTGTCAAATCAGTCATCTCCAACTTAAAAATATCTGCATCTGCTCGGGTTTCAAGCTCTCGCTCAGCGACTCCTACATTGTGATGTATATCCTTTGAGTAAAGCACATCACCATACTCCTCATCTACACCATTCAGGAAAGTGAAACTCTTAGAGGCAGACACCTGATTTCCGCCTTCCATATTATGAAGCGGGTTATGTCTCATCTGCAGTGAGGCTTCAGGCCATCGAATTGCTTCTGTGCTGGACTCGCCTTGTCCATCCGTCAATACTCTTGAACATGCCATTTTTTCCATTCAAGCACCTTTTCTCCCCTCGCACAGAAGCCTACGAGCCTCTTCTAAACCCCAATAACAATGACAAGGACAGCAACAATCTCGACTCTCCTCACTCTCCTCCTTTCTCTGACGCTCGGGTCACTCCTCGCTTTCTCAGCCGGTCAAATGATAACAACTCTAAGGTCGACAAAACCCTTCTCATTCTCTCCGCACTTCTCGCCCTTCTTTCTGTCGTCTCCGCCATAGCACTCATCAATATTACCACCGTGAACATACAATGGCCTACTAATCCCAGCGGCTTGGAGGTTCTCTCGTCTTACACAAATATGGAGAAGGAGTTGATGCATGAGATAAAAATGGAGAAAGGACGTAAGTACTACATTATGCTGGTCCTGACATTTCGCCCAGGGTACTGATATTGTGAACCATTTTGCATCGTTATGGGCATGTCTCCCAGATCCGAAGACATGGTTCCCCGCCGCTATGGTACGCGTCAATTCTGCGGAGCCCGATAGGGCCTACGGAGCGAGTAGTCGTATCGTTCTCAGCGTGATAGTACGTGTTCATCCCACCCAACTCTATCCTATCGATGTATGTATACAAATCTCCTCAGCATTTGATTGGCGTGTTTTATCCAGGATACGATGTTCTACCGCTGGCGCGGCCGCCCCGTCCCCGGCTCCACCTGCTATATCTTTGCAGCCGTTCCCCCTCCCTCGATCCTCTCAGACCCTCTCAGAAACCCCAACGCCACAAAATGGTTCTCCCTCTCTGGCGACGCATCCGCCGTCCAGATCTGGAACGTCACTCGTCCCGCGTCGCACACCGCTTTTGACTCCATGACGTGGAACACGCGACCTCGACGCACAGAGCTGTTGGGCACGGTGAACTGGACCGTTGATTGGACAGTATGGCGCGACATCGACGAGAACGCCGAGGGCATGAATTTGAAGACGGGGAACCATGGAGAGGGGTGGCAGTTGGTGGATCCGACGCCGAGGTTTCCGTGTGAGACGGCTGGAGGAGAGATAATGGTCGAGATTGCGTGCGTTGGTTATGATGCCGAAGAGACACCTTGCAGGTTGGAGTTTGACCAGTTATTCACTGATCCGATGCTTGGTAAGTCGGCGTGTCGAGCTTCAATGTTGGAGGTATTCTTAGGCTGACGATCGATGACATCGTTACCATTAGCTTTCGATATTCAGCAGCTTGCTTAAGGCCTTGGAAGTGGCGAAGATTTGCATGACTGATACGGATTGGAGGTCATCTTGTGTAGCAGGGTGTAGGTCTTGCGAGATTGTCCCGTAGTATAAGTACAGCCATACGAATGGAGCGGTCATGGGTGTGTCGATCCAAAAACAACTCCAAGAGCTTCCAGAACATATCACCCCCAGATGTTCACAGAGATGCTGCATAATCAGGCGAGAGGGGAAAGAGCGTACGACCAGAAAACAGCTGTTGTGGTTCGGAGCAAGCCAAAATTTCAGTTGTCGTTCCGAACACGCCCGAAAGACGAATAAATCTAGTGTGGCGCAAGATGGAATGACATTGTGGCCCAAGAGCCTTGGCCCTCCTAGGAGCGCCTAAATTTACGCATGTCTCTCCTATACTCCCCTAGGACTGGGGGTCCACCGATAACAACGCGGAATCGTTCTGAAAATCTGCGCAGTGTCTTGACTCGGGGAGACCTGCAGGCTGTTGTCCTTGGAACCCCGAGTTGGTTCAACATAAGTAGACGCCGCGGCTGAAGTTAATTATCGAAACCTAACAGCAACGACCGGTAATTAAAATGCCATGATAGTACTTACATCACAAAGTATAGAACAGAAAAACAAAGCATCAGCTCGAACACAGTAAACGCACGGCGTGCATGCCAAATAGCCGCTGACAAAAAGATTTCGTCTGCTGTTCCTACATGAATGAACTCCACGAGTCGATCGAGTTGGCTGCGATGACGAAGATCCCGTTAGATTATAGATACGACGCGTTTGGTTTTGCGAGCGTTCGTGACGTCCTCCCTTCCAGACCTTCATGATCGGTATGTAGTACAAAATCACATCAGCCAGGGACCTTCGTGCTGATCGAACACTTAGACAAGTAACTTCGGGAGTGAGACTCGGAGGCCGAGCGCTGAGCTGACGTAGGTGCTTCACATCCGTCACCTCGTGTTTGCCAAATGAAGGTACGATCACATGCGGGGACTTTGGCGGCGGATGGAGACAGATGGCCGCCTCGGTGTGCCTCGGTACCCAAAAATGTCGGTCTGAATGTAGCGTTTCGTATATTGAAAAGGGACGCAAGTATCCGGAAGGTGCTGGAGACCTCGAGGAGATGTTTTTTGCGTGACGGCGGAGGCGCTTGAATCATGTTGAGGTTCCTAGCAAAGAGTGTCTTTCAACGAATGCGGAGTACGCGGCTAGCACCGTCCACACCCCAACACATCCGTCATTGGAGACACGATGGACTGAAGTATGAGCGCCGAGTCGCAATAATATAGAAAGCAGTGAACACCGCACTGTTGCTGTGTCGATTATTTGTGCCTGCAGACATATGGATGGATGAGAAGAGTCTTATTCCTGGAGACTTCCAGGACAGTTCAAGACGCAGACGGGCTGAGAGAACGTCTTGTCAGTATAGATACCCTGAAACGCGTAAAAATAGGCCTCTGAACATGAAGATATGGTTGGCTTCTTGGTCTTGGAATGGGATAGCCAAGAGCGGTTTTTCTTCGTGGCGCTTCTTCTATGCAGGCACAGTGTACATGTCTAGAGCGGAAGGTAGTTAGCCTGGGAGGACACTTAAACTAGAATTGGACATAGTGATCCAGCCGTAGAGGACCGGAGAGAGGAGGCAATGATGGAAGGAAAACACTCTCCGTTTCGAGTGTTCATTTGAAAACATATCCCGCTTCCCCTATATCTTTCTTCGCTCATCCCGCCTTGATCAGCGCAACGGCCGTCCTGCCATCCGACCATCGGGTATTCCGAGCCCGAATGCAACCAAACACTGCGCACTTGTCCGAGGACCGTTGGATGGTCCCACCAGAACGCCGCGGGAGACACCGAGCTGTGAGGAAAGAGACTTGCTGCCGACAACTGATCTAGAAGCTGTGGAGACAAAGACATTGTCTGATCATGATTACATCCCGTCCGCCATCAACAACGTATCAGCACAAAGAAGATGCTCTGACAGTATCGCTCGGTATCAACCCCGCCACGCCCATCTCCTGTCGGGGCTATCAACGGCTCGGATGGTGGGGGAATCTGACGAACTGTCAAGGGAGCGGAATAATCAGTAATCAGTGGGCCGAGCAGTGTATTATCTGAGGATCTCGGTCACGATTGAACCATATAATCAAGCTGATGACTCGGGAGGGGAGTGATACGCAATGTGGCGATTTCGTATCATAGACTCTGTATGCGGACACTGGCCCGGCCAGAGCACGGTGAAAAGAGGAACCCAATGAGTACATGGTCATCAACCAGAAGAAGAATACCGAGTCTGACCCATCCTCAGCGAAGAAAATTACCTCGACACCAATCCAGAGGAACGACTGTGCAACCCGACATAGAACTCGCTATAGTTCAACGTCCGGTGTTCGACTCTGAACAAGGCGACATTGGAGCGAAAGCCCTCAGGCTCCGAGTCAAGACACTGCACGAATTCGGTAATATTAGAACTACATCCGCAGCACGCCGAGCGCTCCCGACCCCATCAATCTTTGGTGGTGGCGTGAGGCCAGGCGAGACTAATAAAAATAGTTAGTATCAGCCAAACGCCGCAGAGGACGCAGCGCAGAGGTGCCGGTTACGATGTCAGTCCAGACTCCATACTATCTGTTCGAACTTCGCTCCTTAGGGTCCCGAACGCACAGAGTCGAAGTCGGAGGTTGGCGATGGGGTGCACCTGTTGAAAACAGCTCACGCAGTGACAGCAGAAAGGCAAGAGACAATTTATTCCCCTTTTGGGAGGTCGGAGTATGTACATCGTTTGTCCTCGATCTCGGTACATCTAATCTAATCTACCTCGATCCAGTGTCCTGGACTGCACTCGACGCACAACGTCCAACACTCCTCCTCAAGCCAGAGATGATGAGAAGAGGAATATATGTACCGAGAAAAATATGCATCATGCTCCTCCTGACTCCCGACCTATGCTCTCTCCTCCTTCGCGAGTCATGTGGGAGCGATGAGTCCTAGTTTTCGTCGCAGATAATGATGTGCTGCCGAAGGGAGTGCTTTTGTAAATATGTCGGCGATGTTCTCCG